CCGGGCTTGATGTGACGCCCGCAACGGGTGAAGAACGAAGACCACGCGCCTTAAGAGGAGACGAGATGATCGGGTTGGGAGATATCGAATTGCCGGGGAAATCGGCGGGCGAGGGTCTCGATGAGGTAGGGCTGGCAAGCTTCACCGGGGATGAAAACTGCGTGCCTCGGAAAAGCTGCGACGTCGGGAGAAGTTCGGATCGACTATGACGGAAGGGATTTTGAGGAGTAGGGGTTTCTGGCAAGTGTTGGGTCGGGGACAGGTCCGTTTTCTGAGTGGCTCCATGGTGAAAACGGGCGACATCACCGAAGTCCACGAAACCCGAATCATCCTCATCTGTGACTTCCTTGGCAATTCCAGCGCCGTCGTCGCCGATGTCGCGATGATCTGGGGAGCTACTCCTGGGAAGTCCGGCGTTTGGTGGTGTGTGGCCTGGAGATAAAGGGCGGCAATACTGGTCATAGCTGCGGCCGGCATTTGACTGCGTGGATGACTGGGTTGACTCCATCTTCTTCCTCCTCAGCCGTGAGGTGCTATCAATTTCGGCCGAAAGAGGGAGGGTGTCTGGGAGGTTCAAATCGCCCACAACACCATCTCCGAAAGCCACATCACGGTCTGGCCCATCTGGCAACCGTTCGTCTCGCAGTTCGTTTCGCAGTTCGTTTCGCAGAATTCCAATGTCCTGGGTTTCTGGTATTGACGAGTGTTGGCTCTCCTCGGTGTCCCCAAGACGCGTACCCCGCGTCTGATTAGGCTGGTCAGTGCAATCCTTGGGGTGAGGCAGGGGCTACGTTTGGTCTGTTTTGGTTTGGTTTGGCCGTGCGAGACTCACCTTTTCCGCGCCCGTTAATTGATTTGGGAGTGCTAAATCGCGATGCAAGAGTCAGCGGTTGGATGAGCCGTCCTGCATCAATCAATCGACCACTTACTATTTCTGCTGGCCTTGCCACTCATTGGCCGACTTCGATTAGGGGAAAGGGGGGATATGAAGTCCCCTGTTGGAGAGCTGCTCCGCTGGACAGTGCCCGGATAGTCAGATTGGCCACATGCCCTGGAAGCTGACGGCAAGGCAGAGGGGCTATCAACGCCACTTACCAGGCCGACACCAAAATCCATCATGAGGTGATGCGCGAGCAGCAGGGTATCTTGCGACTCATTGGTCCCGTCAATCGCCGTCTTCTCCGCTTGGCGGAGGGTTTTGAACTGCATCTTGACTGCATTTGCTTTTTGGATTGCGGTGCTCTGCAGTTAACCGTCGATGCCTGGCGGCTTTATTGGCCGCCAGGTTATCAACTCAAGGGCGGTTCTGGGTTTGTGCATAAAACAATGAAAAACACAGGGAATTGTTCATCTGGGAATCGGGAAGGCAGTCCCAACTGGTTCGCATGCTCCATGCACGCACGGTCCCTAGAATATGGAACCGTGGCAGGCGCGAGGGGAGCGCGTCATCACGTGCTGATTCACTCTCAGCCCAAGTCCCTGGCTTGTTGCTCAAGATGGGATGATCTGCAGGGGCAGTGAACTGTGGGGAAGACAAGGAAACGAAACAACACAATTTCGGGTGAACCCAACGACCACAGTCCACAAAATCCGAGGGGGAAAGCTGTTGATGGTATTGAAGTGAAGAACCTTCAAATATTCAGTGCAGTGCAGTGTAATCTGTACCAAGCCTATTCAGAGTAACAAGCACTGCGATACCTACCCAAAACTGCCTCCAACAGAAAGGCTGAGACACCTCGTGCTTGTGGGTCCTCTCTCCTTTTTAGTGAAGTTCTATTCGTAGTATGTTTTGGTAGCCCCCTGCAGTTGCTGTGGCACGCAGATGCAGGTAAAATGAGGGTCAGCACGCCGCACGCTTCCAAGGTTGGAGGAACGCTCCTGAGTCTTTTAACTTCCAGGTCCCCCGCCCGGACGCCCGGCCTATCTTAGCACCTTTGGGATACCTAGGTATCTGTGCTACACCCATTTCGACAGAATCCTCAACCTTCTCTTGTTGTTTCCTTTGGATCGCATTCTTCTAGAACCGGCAGGAAGAAGTGCGCGCCATTGGCAATAGGTTGCCATTGACTTTGGCACGCTTGCTCTCAAAATTGCGACAGGTTCTCGGCCCTTGAATTCCAGGCGCTTAGGTTGCAGTCGCATGCTCAACGGCGTTCCCCGGTCGCCTCATTCTGCACCTGGCCAGGAGCGCAACGCCAACGGACAGGCCTCCACGCCTCGAGTAAGCCCATTGACAAGGGAAACGAAACGGCGAAACGACAGCAAGAGCGGGACCTTTTGCTTCGGCCCCACGCGAACCAGGATCGAATCCAGCAAGCCGCCTTTCCCCCCGGAAAGCGCCCCCCAGTTCAGCGAGCGGTCAGGGGCATCTTCTCCAATCAAAAACAAGGGGAAAAACAAGGGCTGCATGAATTGGGCGAGATGAGGTTTCCACCCGTCACCGTCCTGGTCTAAGCTTGCTTCCTTGCTTCCATTACTTTTCCATGACCTCTCTGCTGCGGACTTGCTTCGTCTCGGCCTGCGCCAACACTCTCTTTAACACACGCGACACCAACTCGCTGAACTTCCACAAGGCCGTCGACGCCAGAAGAACGACCCGCCTCCACTCTCCCCTTTTCCCGCACCGCCTCTCCCGACATTCTCTTGCCATACCCGCCAGGCCTGGCCGCCGACGAAGACTTCTACGCAAACCATCACACTCTTTTAAACAACTGAAGCACCAACCCAGGCTCCAACCCAAGCATCAACCCCAGCACCAACCCAACCTCCAACTCAAGCATTCCCCCAAGCGAGCCGAGGTAGCTCAACGTCGTCCGGAAACTCCCAAGAAAATGGACGAGATGGTGCTGCTCCAACGGTCTATAGACGAGAACATGCGGAAGGGCACCTCGACTCCTGAAGCGAGCCGTCATCCGAGTCGCGGAGGGAGCCGTGACGAAACCAAGCCGCGGCGCTTTCCAGATGACCCTCTTTCGCCCCCATCCTCGCACATGGACGATCACATTGAAACTCGTTCAGCGCGATCCGCCTCAACAACCTCGAGGAGCACGAATAGGCTGTCCCTGACTTTGCCCATCGTGCCCCCATCGGCCTATCCCCTACGGCCGACACCAGCCTCTACTACCACTCCCGCATTTCCCCCAACACCCCTCGATACTCCTTCCCTTATGTCCCCTGTTGACCCGAACGATTTTATTACTGCGATAGCGGCGCAGGAACGACGCGTGATGGAACTGAGGGAGGAGCTCAACCGTGCCGAGTCGGACCTTGCAAAACTGAAGAAGCAATGGGCGACCCATGAGGCGTACAAGAAAAGGACCGCTGGGCGGCGAAACCCGGAGCCCATCCCCGGCCTCGGACCAGCCGCCGAGATGCAGGATGAAACCGCAGTTCGGCGCAGCGTCGAGATGGATAGGAGAAGGGCGCTGCTCGGCCAACAAAGTCAACAAGCAACTCCGGAGACACCAGGGAGAAACCGGCGGCGTGTCTTTAATGGAAGGCACGCGCGGACCTTGTCGTTACTGTCCCCTACGAGGCCAGGAAGCTCGTTTTCCGCAAATGATGAGGAGTCTGGGAGCCCAAATTTTGATTTCGACCATCGTTTGGCGCCTGCCGAACTCCGTCTCCAACCCAAGCGCGCAACCTGGGCGGCGGCGCGACCCACGCAAACCGCCGCAGTGAAGCAACTTGCAGAGGATCTTAAGTCGGGACTCTGGACCTTCATGGAAGACTTGCGCCAGGCAACGGTGGGCGAGGAGCCCATCACCGGCCAAGGGATGAACGTGCGGGGCACGGACGGCAACATGAAGTCGGCCACCGTAAGAAACCCCAATAACGCAGGCGACCAGGATACCATCCGCGCGTCTGGCAACCCTCGACCAAGTGTATCATCCGCCTTCAACGGAGCACCAAAAGCATCTAACCAAACGGAAGAAGGCCCAGAGGAAGAAGACAGCGACAACAACAGTAACGGACCCCCGCGGCCCACCACGCTCCGCCGCTCCAAAACGGACGCCGGCGCGCGCAGCACCAAACGCTTCTCTTGGACCCCCTTGAGTGTCGACGCGTACGACGACAACGACTGGTCCAACTGGGACAGCCCGAGCACGCAGTCACCGCGCTGGAGCGGAACCACAGCCAACGGGGACATCATCCCAACTATACCCGAGAAGCGCGCCGACGACGAGAACGAGAACACGTCTCTGTAAGTCTCTCCCCCCCACAACGCCTCCCTTGCCCACAAGCCAGTTATTAACAGGGGAGGATCAAACAGCAGGAACCAACAGGCCTCCCGATCCCGCGCCGCCGGTCCGCCGTCTCCAACGCTGTCGGCCGCGGCGACTGAGGTGCTAGACTCTATTGCGTCCAGCCCCAATAAGCTTGAGGATCTGCTGCCGCAGGCACTGATGAACAGGCTGACCCCGAGCAACCTCAAGCGGACGGCGTCCGATTTTATGAAGGAGTGGGAGCGCAGCCTGTCGTCACCTGAGGAGATCATGGCGGCGGGCGCGCCCGCGGAGAAGACGGCTTGAAGAGGAACAAACCACACACACCTCGTGGTTCGACCATGCCCACCTCAATTCTTTTTATCTGCTGTATTAGGACAGGACAGGCTACGGGCGCAAATGCGGGAGCACATGTTCCCACACAGTGTTGGATTTATGCGGCGACGGGCAAGCGCCAGTGTTAAATTACTAATGAGGGATGAACGGGGATCTATATACAAGCGGTGGTTATAGGCGTCGCCGCCTCTGGCCGCGAGACAGGTTGGTTACAAGAGGGTTGGAAGAAGCCGAGGACTCACTCTTCTGGGATGGCTTAGGAGTAATGACCATAGTAATGACTAGATGAGATGTATGAATGAGAGATGTTGCAATCAACACGCAGAAGCTCATATTCAAGACGAAGCTGGGATCCAGTGGCCAGTTCATCGCATAAACCAACTATTCGTACTCAGCTACACAGTAACCAACCGCAATAAGAAAGCCCCTGCTCACACGGGATATGTCCATGAAAAGTCTATGTGATGTCCCCATTCCTAAAATGCACAGAGAGAGAGTTCCAGCCAGGCAGGCCCAGGGGAAGGAAGGAAAGCCGAGAAGACAACGAACAATTTTAATATTCATTGCCACCAAACAAACCGCCAGACAAGACACGCTATGCACAGCATGCATCCAGATCCAGATCCCCTCCGCCCCCTACAAAACACTGTGTACTGTACTGTCCTCTATCTACCTCCCTAGCCTTACTCATCCGTGACAGAGGCGAACTTGTCGAGCATAGTCTGCTGTATCGCCTCGTACTTTTTTTTTCTGTCAGCACCATTCCTCAATCTTTATAAAGAGGGGGAAAGAAAAGGGGCGGTTCAAACACGTACCTTCTTGCAGATAGTCTCCTGACCATCGCTAGGCACCTCGAACTTGAGGCTGCGCAGCTGGGCCTGCAGCTCCTGGGTGGCGTCGCGCACCTTGGCCCAGCTCAGGCCCTGGGCGATGGCCTTCTGGGCCTCGTCGTGGAAGCCCATCATGAGCTTCATCATCCACTCGGTCTTCCAGATGGGGCAGAACTGGTCGTAGTCCGAGTAGCCGTTCTGCTGCAAAAAGTCCTCCTTGATCAGCGTCGCCATGTCCAGGGTGATCTTGTCCGGGTCCGAGAGCGCCGATTTGCCGACCAGCTGCACCACCTGGTCGAGTTCTTCGCTGTCCGACAGCAGCTGGCGGATGCGGTCGCGCAGGCGGGGGAAGTCGGGGTACTCCTTCTCATACCACTTGTCGAGGATCATGTTGTACTTGCTGTAGCTGAGCGACGTGTTGATGGACGGGAAGTGCTTGCGCTGGGCGAGTTTCTTGTCCAAGCCCCAGAAGACCTGCACGATACTGAGCGTGGAAGCGGTGACCGGATCTGAGAAGTCACCACCAGGCGGGGACACGGCGCCAACAATGCTCACACTGCCGTCGCGGGCGGGGCTACCGAGTGTCTGGACTTTACCGGCGCGCTCGTAGAAGGAAGCAAGCTTGGCGCCGAGGTAGGCCGGAAAACCCTGATCCGCAGGCATTTCACCCAAACGGCCTGAGAGTTCTCTGAGCGCCTCAGCCCAGCGGGAAGACGAATCAGCCATCATGGCCACGTTCATGCCTTGGTCTCGGAAGTATTCGGCGACCGTAATACCGGTGTAGATAGAGGCCTCACGGGCAGCGACAGGCATGTTGGATGTGTTGGCGATGAGGGTGGTGCGCTTCATGATGGGCTCCTTGCGCCCATCGACATCGATAGTAAGCTCAGGGAAATCCTTCAAGACTTCAGCCATTTCATTACCGCGCTCGCCGCTAAGAAATAACGTCAGTATGCCGTACGATGACCCTTCAAGACAAAAGTAGGTACATACCACCCAACGTAGACAATGACATCGCTGTTGGAGAACTTGGAGACGGACTGGCTAATGACGGTCTTGCCACAGCCGAAAGCGCCGGGGATGGCAACGGTGCCGCCCTGGACAGAAGGGAAGAGGGCGTCGAGAACGCGCTGGCCGACGATGAAGGGCTGATCGGCCGAGTGCTTCTCGGTTGTCGGGCGCGGTACTCGCACAGGCCAGGTCTGCATCATACCATACTCGGTCTTCTTGCCGTCAAACTCGACCTCGAGAATCTTGTCTACGACGGTGTAGCTGCCCTTGTCGGCAATCCTGGTGATGGTGCCACGGGCCCTGGGAGGGAGCATGACTTTGTGTACAGAAATGAAAGAGTTCTCGTAGACTGTCCCCCACACATCACCGCCTGAGATGTGATCGCCAACCTTCATGGTGGGAGTGAAGTCCCACTTCTTCTGGCGGTCGAGCGCGGGGGCAACAATGCCTCGGGGGATATAGATGCTCTTGGACATTTCCGAAATCTTCTCGAGGGGCCGTTGGATACCATCGTAGATGTTGTTTAGGAGACCGGGGCCAAGTTCGACGGACAAGGGCTTGCCAGTGCGGATGACGGGGTCGCCAACCGTAACGCCGGCTAGTGTTTTGTATGGTGTCAGCCTTGGGGAAAGGGGGTGATTCAGCGGGACTTGGAAATAGTCTACCTGTTTCTTCGTACACCTGAATGGTCGCTTGGTCGCCGCTGATCCGAATGACTTCTCCGACGAGGTTGTCGTGACCCACGTTCACCTGTTTCGCACATTTTAGCCCAGCGCCCTCCCAAGATCGCGGTGGCGTCGAAAGCGTACCAACTCGTACATAGCAACACCGGCCATGTCCTCGGCAACGACGACGGGTCTGGAGAGGCTGTTAGCGATCATAGACGGGGCGGAACGGGCGCAGTTGGCGCTTGGTTTGCGACTAACCCAGAGACCGAGTAGATCTTGCCTATGGCCCAATCAGTAAACGTAACCAACAGCAACCTGGGTTTCATGAGCAGTTCTAGCATACCTGTGTGCACTCCATCCTTCTCGCCGTCCGTTTGCGACTGTTACGATGCCGTGTCAGCGTGTTGGGCTCAAGTCGTGGGCCGACAAGATAGATGCCGTCTCTGTGTGTGTACGGGTGGGCAAGCAGCAGGCGGTAGCGGGGAGCTTACAGGGGCCATGCTGGGCGACGAGGCAATTGCAACGGGCGTGTGTTTCGGCGGTGCAAATGCGGGCACGTAGCTAATGACGATGGTAGGTATGCTGCTCGAGGTGGGCGTCGGCGATGGCGGGGTAGATGCGGAAAGAGGTGGTGTGTCGGGCGAGGGTGGAAGCGGGAGGTTTGCAGCTTGGTCAAGGACGGCAGCAGCACGCGCAAGCTCCCGGCGGTCGGATGCCGGGGCGGTGCCCGCCGAGAAGAGTGGAGGCGATGATGCAGTGGGTGTTCCTGCGTGCGGCGGGTCGGACGGAGACTGGCTGCCGCCTCCAGCTCGAACCAACAGGTCAACCAGTGACGGCCGCGCCTTCAACCGAGGCCGTAATCCGACTTGCATTCAAGGCAAAGCACCAGGCAAATTCCTCTGCCGTTGAGAGAGGTTGGGCTAGATGTTGTGTGCACCACCAAACTTTGGAACTGGAAAAGGCAACAAACAGACGGGATTATGGAATTGTTATTGTTTAATGAAGCTAAGCCGAGAGGTGACGTTAACTCGGTACATTTAGTTAGTGATGCGCAATGCTTGGTTCGCCCTGGTCCCGCCGCCCAGGCACTTGGGGAAAGACCTAAAGGCAGGTACGCGGCCATGATGCGATCCTTCTCCGCAACCAAACAACTTGTAACCCGATAACGCGTCTGCGCCGCGCTGTTGGTTACAGTTGAGGGAATACCCTGTTTGGCAGTCTGACAAGAATTGGGTGTACCGGGGTTAGGGCTCAATAGGTCGGTGCTTGTTTGAGGATATGGTGAAAAGACCACGGCGCATCGCATCCTGCCCTCTCCCAATGAAACAGGTCGCTCCTCAAGAAAACCACCATATTCACAGCGTGGTATCTTCTATTACAGTACTATATACTATATAACCCAACAATGCGTCACTGTATCAGTACAAGCGAGCCCACGTACAAACTCCATAATACACCTGACAAAACCACCGTGATCCTCTTCATCCCATATCCCTCCCTCTTTTACACCAACGACATCGAGTGAGAGGGTACGGAACGCATCACACACAATCCAAACACAACGGATACCACATTGTGAAAACTGCGTCATAGAATTCACTGCCAACGCTCCGACCAGGGAAGCGGAATCAATTCAACCGTAAGGCCCCCTTCGTCATTAGAGAGAGGCAAGGCGAACCGCCCATCTGGCCGGTCAGCGCCCTTTCCTTCATCGGCCGGGTCCAACCCATGCCGACCCTTTGGTGTAGCGGTATAAAATCAACCGCCGGCTGCCCACGGCACTCCGTGGCTGGCAGTCCAAGAATGCGATGTAGTAACGGGATGCAACGTGATCGAACATATGACAAGCCTCCCCAAGGCTCCTCGACCGCGAGCCGCGGCCAATCGAGGTAAGGCAAACGCAAAGTAAGTGGCGACCGCAAGACAGAAATTACAAGAATTAGAGGTCGAGGCCGGCCGCGGGGGCGTTCAGTTGAGGAAGCCCTTACACGCGGCCGTCCCGCATAGGCAGGGGATGCGGTCGGTGCTGCCAAGCTCACGTTCAAACTTGTAGTCGTATGTCAACTCTTCGTCTGAGGCGCCATTGTGTCAGCCGCCATTCTCACTCTCTCACTCACCCGCGACATTATGATTATTGGGAGGGGGTTACTCACTCTGCGCAATATCCCGGAGGGCATAGATCACAATCCGCTTGCTGCCTTCCACCTTGATAATCTTGGCCGTGCAATTGGGCATGCAGCTGTGGTTGATGAACCTTGCAATGCCACCCTTCTTGGTGGCGTCGATGACCGTGTTATCATCGATCCGGAAGAGGTAGCTGCTGCCGATACCGCTCTTGAGGTATCGATTCTCGCGGAGTTCGGCAATCTGCTGGCGAACTTCCTCGCCGACATACTCAATAATCATGTCGTCTTTAGGGATGTTCTCCATCGCGTACAACCCCCAGTTGTGGATGGCCGACCTCGCAAACTTCACAGGCTTCTTCCGTTTTTTAAGCTGGTTGAATCGCAAGACATCAGAGTCCTGGCCAAGCGTCTTTCGCTGATCGTTGAGATCGGCGACGAAACGGCGGTTGTTGGCACGGTTGGCACGGGAGTTACCCTTAGCCACCAGGCTCTCCGCAGCTAGCCTCGCGGCTTCTGCGGCAGCAAGAACCGAGTCCTTCGCATTCTTGCCGTTTTGTGCCTGGCGCTCCTCCCTAGCCTTCTTGACCTTGATGTGATGAGGGAGATACTTGGACTTCTCCGAGTTGAGGATCTTCTTGACCCCCTCTGCCCTGGCGCAGCCGGTAGGATTTGGTACATAGTACCCCTCGATTCGAACCGGCGTTTTTGCCGATCCGTCAGTCGAGTTTAGTTCACGAATGCGATCCCGCCGCCAGACCCAAAGTTCGGGATCATCGATTTTGCCGCGGCCAAACCTTTTACGAAGCCGGTCAAGATCTGGCTGGTCATTCGGCCCAAGAGCCAACTCCTCCAAAGAACCCACGTCGAGACGGAAATCATGAGGGAGCTCCAGCACGGAGACTTTTTGAGACGGATAGAGATTCTCATCAAGAGCCGGCTTTTCCACCTTCTCTTCCTTCTCCTTCTCCTTCTCAACCTTGGATTTTTTGGGCTCGCTCTCGGGTTCCGGCGTGGGTATGACCTCGTCCACGTCCTCCGATTGCAGGGCCTCCCTCTCAAATATCTCTTGTTGCTGCCGTTTGAGGGCTTCCCGTTCCTCGAAAAGCTGCTTTTTCGATTTCCGCTTGGTCTTGGCCGGAGCCTTCTTTTTGGCTTTTCCTTCTTGAAGCAGAGGAGTCGGCAGTCGGGAGCTGCCGATGTCTTTCTCTTCGCCACCTCCAGGCCCGGGGGGCAGAACATCCTCCAGAGAATCCTCCCTAGACGGAAATTCGGTTCCGATGCGATCGATAGTCACCCCGAAAAGCTCCTCGTCCGTTTTCTTCTGCCGTTTGATAGCCGTTTCGACTTGAAGATCCAGCTTCCTCTTCTTGGCCAGGCCCGGCCCATCGCCAAGCGCAAAGCTGGCCTCTGTCATAGAGTCATCATCTCCGGGGCCCCAGGACGCGTAATCATCCTTATCACCCTCGTCGTCCGAGCTCATCCGGCTCCGAGGCCGGGACTCAGGCTCTTCCGTGTCTCTGCCGAGCGACGTCCTATTCTCGGCTTCGTCCTCGGATTCGCCCTCGCTGTCGCTTCTCAGACGATAATGAAGAGATCGAAACGCGGTGCGCCGGGCCGTTGGTCGATTTCGCGCAAATGGGTCATTGAACCCATGCTTACGGGTATTCAACCCGGCATTCTTGACCTTGCGAATACGAGGCAGCGCAGATACGTCGAGGCGAGCGGTTCGCCGTTCTATGGGATCCGCCCTTGAATTCGGCGTGCTGACGGGAGATCTGTCTTCGAATTCGTCGAGCACGATCGGAGGAAGCCGGGCACTATGGGGATCCTCAAGATTGAGCCTGCGTCGCTTGGCTAGATGGTTGACAGGGTCCAGGAAGTTGAATAGAGCGGGTGCCGCAATCTTGGTACGAATGATCTTGATGAGTTGTTCCTTCATCCCCCGGAGAACCACATCCGTAGCCTCCAGCACCGGGTCGTAGTTCTTCGCTCTCTGCCGTTTTTCTTCCTCCAGATCGGCCTCGTCTTCCCGCCGCCGCCGGTCTTGTTCGTCGCGCCGTGCTCGCTCTTCGTCACGCCTACTGCGGTCATGTTCACGGTGGGGCCGAGCTTCATCGACGTGCTTCCGTTCTGGCGTGCGAGTGCGCCGCCGAGTGTCCGAGGCATGCGCATGCGAGGCCTTGCCGTCGGTCCCATAAAGGTGGAGGACCATCACCATTGTGTAAGTGAAGAAAGCGGTGCGGTCAGCAGACCGAAAACAACGTTCGGCTTCCGCCCGGCCATATCCCGAATCCTGGAAGACGATGTAGTATCCGGTCCTGTCTGCCCGTATGTCCTCAAACATGTAGGTCTTTAAGCGCCTCTTCATGTGGGCCACCGTGGTAGGCATGACGGGGACATGTTCGTGGCCTACGAAAATGTAGGGGTCGTGTTTGAGGTGGCCTATGACGGGTTCGACCTCTATTATCGAATCTGGCCTGGGCTTTGGCACCCACACACCCTGGACGTTCATCAACCCGCCTCGGTGCGCCGCGGGACCCTTCGGTGCGGTCGGAGGGGGCCCAGGAGCGACTTCTTTGGGTTTCGGGCCCGTCGGAATCCTAGGCTCGCCCAAAGCTGGTGTCGTTTCATTCCCTTTTTGTAGCACCTCCACCAACATGCGGGAGCTTTTCTTGCCCTCAGCATCATACTCGACACGGACCATATTCGCCTCGATTCTCTTTCCGTGCATTGCTCGAATGGCGCGTTTTGCGGCGTCGGCGCCGGTGATCGAGATGGGGCGCGAGCGGCTCGGCTTCGAATCCCGGTAGCGAAAGGTAGCAAACCCCAGGTAGCTGCCGGTGTCGGGGTGCATCTTATTGCTGCTTTCGGCGATGTCACCAAAGGAAGCAAAGACAGCCGTGACTTTTGAAAAAGCAATCAACGGGTTGAACCCCGTAACGACAACCTGAGTAGGCGGGCCGGGGCCACACGACGTCTTGGGATCATACTTGTACGGCTTCAAGTTGTAGGGCGCATGTCGTAACCGAGCTTTCGGGAGGTGGAAGTCGACATTGATGTAATTCAACCTCCCGCCCTTTGCCAGGCGGGGGTCCGAAGGGGGAGCGTCATCTTGGTCGTCCGATGCCGCGGATATTAGCCATATTGTTCCCATAATCAAGATGACGCTCCCCCTCCCTCAGTGTAAAATTATCAAATGCACATACCATCCCAAACTCCTTGTATATCGGTTTCGCCTTTCTCTTTTCGGAGCTCGCAAGCGATGTATCGAAAAAAGGCTCATATGTACGCTTAATGCATTTGATCGAGCGAGAGGGGTCTCGGGCAGGCACGCGTTCGACGGCCGGTGTATAAAGGACAGCTCCGTTGGGAATCGGTGTGAGTCCGTTGAGTCCGTTTATTCCGTCGGCACGGCGAGGAGTGGTCGACTGCGCCTTGGTGGGGGCAGTTGTAGATAGATATGAGGACGGTGATGCGATGGTGGTGGGCGGGGTGAGCTGGGTATTTGAGAATTTCATGGTGCCGGTGGCGCTCGGTCGGGTGGGAGCACTGAATACTGAGGAGCTTGCACTTGTATGGGAACTGGCTGATCCCCCAGCATGGAGCGTGTCTCCGGCGAGCGACTCGGTATCATCCGTCGGAGGGTGTGCGGCATGAGCAGTGGTGCCATTCAGCTGAGGTCTGGATGTGAAGCCGGTGGCAGGCTCGTCGTCATGGTGAGCAGATGCTGAAGGATTGAGCGGGGCGTGGTAGCCATTGGAATCGACAGGACGGGCGAGCGGGGTTTCTTGTGCCTTCATTTTCACCTTCTCGCGTTCCATTGCCCTGTCCCTTGCGGCTCGAGATGCGGCAGGGAAGAACTGGGCGAAGCTCGCACCAGTAGGGCGAGTCATGGCGAGAAGGGGTGACTAGTGCCGTTCCCGACGTCCTCCGACCATCATTTCTGGTGCTCGAGATGCTGGGAGTCACCATGCGTGAATGTTGATGGACGTGAATTGCGGTGTGGGTAATTACGCGTGCATGTGCCGTCCACGCGACAAAGCTTTGCCGGTAGGGAGGCCTTTGACCAGACTGCGCCGTAAGCTGAAAGTGGTGAGGAAGGCGGCTGAGCAGTGAAAAATAAAACAGGGCCCAGAGCGATACTTGTGACAATTTGCGCTTTGTTTCGGTGGTAAAGGAAGTGCTTGTGAAGCCAAAGCAAGCTGCTGGATCAAAAAGCAGATCGCAGTTGAAGTTGAAAGTTTAGGGACGGCCCAGGCGCTGAAGTCCCGAGTTCCATTTTCCACTGTTTCGCTAAACCGAAACTGGCTTGGCCAAGTTCGTGCCAAGATGGCTCGAGCTTCAAATGAATGGGGTGTGCATTGTGGCAGAATTGCAAGCGGAGGCTGGGGATGATTGCACCATCCAATCAAGGATGTCGCTGTCATCAGGCAAGGCTTCCACTGCCAGCTGAGGCCCCCTGAGTGCTGGAATGCATGCCTCTCAGCCCCCTGAATCGAGTGGTGGGTGTGAAGCACATCTCAGCAACCTGAACCAGTGCTGACGGCCACCAATTATAGTTACCTCAAGAAAACGCAGAAGACAGAACGAATGAAATCAGAGAAGACACAATCGCTAAAATTAGAGAGGATAGGAGAATTAAACAGATAAAAAACAACATACGAATAGAACAGAACATGTAAAGTTTTGTGACCCCCGCCATTTACCCATATGTTTTCGGCTTCTTCTCGTATACCCTATTGTCACAACAAGACGGATGAACGTTTAAGCAAGACCTTAGTCGTTACCATTCGGTCTTGATTTTATATTGTACACGAGCTAAGACGACCCGGCACCACCCAGGTAACAAAACAAAGCCGATAAAACTCCAGTCCAAGTCGCTGCCATGATACCTGCTCGCTCTCATTCGCCAGCAGGCAGAACACAGCGCTCTGCAGCTTCCTGTTTGTAGCCAGAATGCCGCGGACCAGCTTAGGTGACAGGGCCCATAATGGCCCCTCCCCACAGAACCACAAAAGAAGGATATGTAAACAATGCCAGCCTCCCAATAATACCCATGTCGTCGACCAATCCGAGTAAAATATGCCGATAGGTCCTAGGCCGAACGCCATCACCCAACGCCTCCAGCCACCGTCATAGAATTCTTCAGCTGTAACTCAATCAAACTTCACCGTAAGCTGGAAATCGTCAACGTCGTCATCAACCGCCGGAGGTGGGCCCCCACCCAGACCATCTTCTTCCTCATCGGTATCAAAGACAGACAAAAAGTCCGGTTTCTTGAGCTCCGTCTGGGCGAACCGCGCTGGTGTGATGGTGGCCTCCGAGCTCGTTGACGCTGTGCTGACGGACCGCACCAACGTGCGAGGTTTGGGACCAATCTGAGTTTGGGGCGGGCGGCTACCTGCGTCGCCACCGGCTCCCTGGACCGCCGAGGATACCGACCGGCCCTTGTTGTAGCCTAGGGTGCTGCGTGAGGCGGCAACTGCGGGCGCCCGTTCTCTGATTGACAGGGTGGGCTGAACCACGGGTTGCACCGTTCTTCGCTTCGGGATAAGAAGCCCCCTAGTCCGGGTTTCGGTTGTGCCCAAGGCAGTTGTCTTGGTCAGTTTTGGTTGGGCAATTCCGGAGGGTTTGGCGGGCATGGAGAGAGCTGATGCCGCCTTCCTGGATGCAAGGGTCGACGGCTGCCTAGGTATCGGGTGGGCCACCTTTTTGCTGATCGTTGCTGTGGCCGCTGGAATCGTGCTGCTCTTCTTCTTGAATACATCCTTGCTCTCCGGAATGTCCCCAATGCTCCAGTCAAAATCCTCCATATCCTTCCGGATCTGCTCTTCACCGCGCTCAAAGCTCTGTTTCTGCCGCTCTTCCATGTCCCGCTCCAGGGCTGTTTTCCCTTCGCCGTCCACGCGATTGAAGTAGTATTGGTAATAACCCTTGAACAAGTTCTCAGGCTTGAGTCCCTCAAAAGTCAAGACGCCGTCGGGGAACACGTCGGACTCGTAGGGGGTCTCTTTTGGTCTCGGGGGAGCATACTCGATCTCTTCCTCCTCGAGCGGCCCTTTGTCCGTGTGTACTTCGAGCTTGGCAGATTCAGCTTCGGGTGCACGCTGCTTAGGTCGGAGAGTGGCAGTTGGCTTGACCGCGCTCTTCTCGAAGTCGCGGGCCGTCACTTTGGCGCCGGGGGTTTGGTAGGTCGCCCTAGCCTTTGCATTCGTGGTCTTGTTTCCGAGAGGCGCCCGACCGGTCCTAGGTGCTAAATCCGGCGTTAGAAAGGCGGGATAAAGAGGCGTGGAAGGACTCACCCGCTGGCGTCACCATGGCCGATTTTCCCGACTTGCCAAGGCCATTAGCACCCTTCCCGACAGTGAGGTTGTTCTCATTATTTCCTTTTCCTCGCAGAACGCTCTTGCCACCAAATCCGTGATTCGAGTTCTCGTCGCTGAGCGGAACCTTGAGGGGCGTCTTTGGAAAACGGGCACCTGGGGTCTTTGCCTGCAACTGTTGCTTCGATGCACCGGCCTGGTGCGTGTAAACGTTCTCTTGATCGTGGTGAGCTGCTAGCATCTTTGCGTGGCTCGGGGATGGCCTCCCAAGTGGCGGCTTTTGACGATTCAGAGGGTCGATAATAAGTGTCGTTTTCGTGAATCGGAGGTTTCGATGCATAGGACACTCCCGTGCCTGAATCGCGGCGTCGCGTGGCTGGGCTAGTTTCGAAAGTGCCACTCTGAGGTTGGCACAGCAACGGCACAGGAAATGCGCAGCGGTGACACCAGGCCCCCGGCTAATGGTGGGGTCGATCAGACAAGTGACAGCCACCTACCGTAGCAAATGGAAACACCGCCGTTTGGTGAGGGGCAGTCGCTGGTCTTCATTTCCTCCAACGCCCGCCAGTTTGCATCCACCTCCTTCTTCCTCCCTTAACTTCCCCAACCACTACCTGCGACATTCCCTTTGCTGTGTTTTCGCTTCAGAGTTCACTCTCTTACAACGAAATCGCCTTCGTCCTCTTATCACCAACAACAAAATGGATCGCATCAAGGAGGTAAGTTAGCTAACCCTTTCTTCTTGGAGCTGCACCCCGGTTTGGCCCCACCATTGGGTTTACCAGGACGCCCCTTAAAAGCAATCACGAGCATCGCCGGTCTTGATTTCCGGCACTGGCGTGTCCCAGCCGCGACTGCGATTCTCGACTTGATTATTTTACGATGCCTCGGATGGCTGACGATATGTTGCGCATCCCAGAAAATGAACCAGCTCCGCCTGGACGCCGAGGAGGCGGCAGCCAAGGTCGACGAGCTCCAGAGCAAAGTCAAGACGCTCGAGCAGGAGAACCTCCAGAAGGAGCAGGAGATTGTCTCCCTTACGCACAAGAACAGCGTGCTTGAGACGGAGGTAGAGAAATCCGAGGCGCAAGTCAAGGAGCTCAAGGCCGCGGCCAGCGAAGGCCAGCAGCACGGTACCCAGAACGAAACGCTGACTCGAAGGCTCCAACTTCTCGAGGAAGAGGCCGAGGAAGCAGACAGGACTTTGCGCGAGGCCAACGAGAAGTAAGCTTGCACACGCGTTCCCCACCTGACCAGCTTCGCTTATACTGACCGCCTCTTTCTTAGGCTGCGGCAGACCGACGTCAAGGCTGGACACTTCGAGCGGAAAGTCCAGGCCCTCGAGCAGGAGCGCGACCAGTGGGAGTCCAAGTACGAGGAGATGGCCAAGAAATACACCGCCGTGCAGAAGGAGCTGGATGATTTCCAAGCTGAGATCGGCGCCATCTAAGTCTAGCGCGATTCGGTTGGAGAGAGGGTTTTGTTGGGTCCAGCTGGTTATCACGGCTTCCGGTTCTTTACATGTGCCGGGCCACATCGATGGGCGAGGGTTTGAGGTGGACGGGTCACTAGCACTGACTCCAGTACTTACATTCTGCGACAATCCAAACACATACACCCCTTTCTCAACTTTGTCATGCGAGCTGTATTTGTTTACAGCAGTGATGTGCATGCTGGGCCAAATGCTACCCCTTATCTTTCCTTCGCTTCGACCTTTGCTTCCGTGCTTCGACAGCTCTTTCAAACTTGTTTTCGTAGCGGAACTTCTTGTTCTTCTTGGCCGGGTATTTGGGTCGTTTGGCGTCTTTCTTTGAATCTTCCTCCGCACTAGCACCTTCTTGTTTAGGCCCTGCATCCTCCGAGGGCTTCTCGAGCTCTGGTTTATGAAGACCGTCTCGGTCTACGCTGACTGCTTCCACGGTCACGGTTGTGTACTTGTCCTCGTCGATGTATTCTTCCTCCATGTCGATCGGCGCTTCAGGGATGTCTGTGTCTGACAGGCCTCCCCATTCACCCTCGGAATCATTTTGGTCTTGGTCGCCCGTGCCGGCGTGCTCGGCTTCCCGAAGGATCTTATTGATCGCCTGAACGTGGTCCTCGACGGCTTGTTTTCGTTCTTCCCTTATCTAGCACCCGCTTCGTTAGCATGGACAGTGTTGTAGTCTTGTGAGGGGAAATGCCATACCTGTTTCCGTACTTCAATCCTCTCTTCCCGCGCCTTCTGCTCGGCTACCTCTTGCGCATGCTTGATCCGCGCCTGTTTGCGCTTGTGGAATCCCGTAAGATACTCGGAGCGGGCATCTTTATCGAATGTGATCTCCTCGATCGCATGTGTTGTCTTCCTCTTTTTTGGCGGCGCCGGCGCCGTCTTCCGTACCCTCGGCTGCGCAAACATGGTGGAATCTAGCTGGGGGTTCTTGGTTGTTGCTCTTTTGCAGCACCGGAAGCCCTGTCTCCTGTAAATTTAAGACGACCCCTGCAATTGCACCGGCTTATCGGGGTTCTGCCAGCCTCCACCGCCCCACTCGGCTGTTGGCTGCATCATCCAACCAAGCCACTCTGAAGCTCCTGGCCGAGACGCAATCGCAACCAACTTGCCGCTGCCAACGCCGACGAAACGAGCCGGCATCATCACCAACAACCATGAAGCTCTCCACGGCAACGACATTTCTCGCCTGCGCGGCATCCCAAGCGCAGGCCTTTTCCAACTCGTCGCCATTCGTCTTCCTTTCTACAGCCGAGTGCGTCCCCGTTCCCTATCGCAAGCTGTAGGCTGCAGTCCTGCAGTCCTGCTCCAACCAGCAGCTCATAAGCCAGGACGTTGAATTGACGCTCATCCCACAGACTCTCCACCCCGCCGTCAACCTCCCAGCTCCAAACCGCCTCCCAAGTCCTCACCACGGCCAAATCCCTCCTCGCGTCATGCCCGACCAAGCGCTACCTCCTCGTCTCACAGCCCAACATGCACGCGGCCGACATCCGTGATGACTCCAACGACAGCAGCAGCGACTCCTGCCGCATGCCCAACCTATGCCGCGCCGCGCGCCGCGACGACATCAACAGCTGGGCTGTTGCCGAGACCATTGGCCGGGTGTCGGGCAAGCCGCTGGAGGAGTACATTGCGCAGACGTGTGGGGAGGGCGTGAGCGTGCAGCGGGTCGAGCTGCGGCAGCTGCCGGCTGCGTCTGAGCGTATCGGCGCAGAAAGCGCGAGGGGCGAGGTGTTGGGGGATAATGGTATGTTGTCGGATACACTCACAGGCGAATTGCCGCGCTTTGGGGGGGATAGGTGTGCTGACTTTGAGGATGGATGGCAGATCATGAATTGGGCCAGCTGCTTGATACGCTTGCGGGCGAGGACTATACCGTCGTGGTGTTCTCGGACCCGAGCGAGGCCAAGGCGTACGAGCCTGAGTTCAGCGGACCTGTGCATATGGACATGAAGCGCTCCGTCGAGCGCCAGTTCGTGGCCAGGTCGAAGAGCGACTCGGCTGACAACTTGCCGTTGTTTGAGAAATACCAATTCTTCACGCCTGGTAAGTTTACATCGTATCTTCAGAGTGGGCAGTCGCTAATTCAAGGGCTACCTTAGGCATTTTCATGGCCTTCATCGTCCTGGCCGTGGTTCTGTCCATCCTGGGCGTCGGCCTCAAGGCGCTCTCGAGCCTCGAGGTCTCTTACGGCGCGTTTGACAAGGACATGGGCCCGGCTGCCCAGAAGAAGCAGATGTAGAATAGCGTGTGGTGGTATTGTGGTAAATGTGGCTTGGTTTCCTGGTTCGTCTGTAGCATAGCTACCTGGGCTGGAGTTAGTTGGTTTGAGCATAATTGTGGCATCAATGTCTAGACTTTTGCGAAACATGACCTTGCTTGTTATTCGCCGGTGCGTGATGTCACAGCTAACGGAGACGTCGGTGATCAACCCGGTCCAGCTGTTAGATCCAGTCAGTGATAGACGTGATGGCGATGGTAGAATATAATCATAACCGATTGAAATCGTGATCGTGAACGCCATGACCCAAATCCAGCCAACATCACCCCCATGATTCGTGCCTAATTCACGATAACCTCCCCTCTTTTCTTTTCTTGCCAGCCCCAATCCATGACGCTCATACCAAATGGCTCGGCAACAAGAAATTTGCGATGCCTTCCCGCACCGCATACTCGTGCGAACAATTCCCACACACCAGCTTCCCCTCGTTCATCTGCGTCTCCATCAGGAGGGTATGCAAATCCTTGAGCATCTTCTCGTCTGCCTGAAGCTCTTCTGGTGTTGGCGGCTGTTCGGGTAGTTGGGGGAACCCAAGCTGCGGCATGTTAATAAGGTCGAGAACAAGAGGGAGGGTGAGAGGGGAATGAACAGGACGGGGGAGGTTATGAGAAATAAGTATGATCAAATCCAAATATTAAAACCCAAGACGATGAAAAATGATCAATACTTGCCTCCGTAGATGTCGTCCGCAAGGCATTCCAGTCGATGCGGGGCAACAAGTTGACTAACAACTGCGGGTTGAGCTCAACATCGTCGCTGACGAGTTCTGCATCTTTGGGGTGCAGCGGGAACGAGTCAGACGAGGACTTGCAAGACTTGACGGCGCAAGTCAAGAAATTTAAAGTGAGGACTTTCATATTGGTGGTTGGGTGTCGTTTGCTGAGGAATGTCATTCAAAGCGGGTTGAATGTTGGAGGTCACGAAAAAATTATAGATGCCTGAAACGGGGCCACTTGCATCTAACGGAACATGTTGAAAGAGACGCCCTTCCTTCGCCCGGATATACCACAAAACCCTCCAAATCGCTACTCTACATTCATAGTTCACACGCGAGTCTTCTCATAGCCAACTTCGCTTTGGGTCTGGCCTCTTGAGAAACGCAGCCACATCGCAAAGACGGCCCCGACGATTGCCATAAGAACCACCTTGACCAGAAGAGGCCAGTCGTCGCCAAGGTCAACGGCAGGACCTGGCTCGTTTGTTCCGGGCGCGGTGTTCGCATCTTCAGGGGCATCGATGCCTGGGCAAGGGCGGAACCAAGAATGAACGATCAGTACAGTGTCTTCTTTTGAGACATGACATGGTAGAATCCAATGTGAGAAGTGCAGATTGATATTGTCGACACTAGGGCTAATTACCCCCAGTGCATCTCATTTTATATCCACAGATGTGTCAAGGGAGACGGGGGGATGTTGGCACACATTGTGAGAGAAGCTTAGAGCTCCACGTGGATACCTTCAGGAGGGACCTCCAACTCGCCGCTCTTGGCAATCTTGACAGTCTGAACTGGCTTATCGCCCGGTGCGGTATCGACGTTCTCGATCTTCTCGACGACGTCGTAGCCCTCGAGGACCTCGCCGAAGACAACGTGACGGCCATCGAGCCAACTACAGGTTGTTGTTAGGGATATCATCAGAGAAATGCCCCCAAGGCGATTGGTGCAACTCACGAAGTGACAACAGTGGTAATGAAGAACTGAGAGCCGTTGGTGTCCTTGCCCGCGTTGGCCATGGAGAGCAGGCCTTTCTTGGTGTGCTTGAGCTTGAAGTTCTCATCGGGGAACTTGTCGCCGTAAACTGCAGTCACAAGAGTTAGTGCTAGGCCTTCCACACCAACTGAATCGGAGGATGTGCCACGTACTCGACTTGCCACCGGTTCCATCACCCTTGGTGAAGTCACCGCCCTGGATCATGAACTGCTTGATCACGCGGTGGAAGGTGGAACCCTCATAACCGAAGCCCTTCTCGCCAGTAGCCAGAGCACGGAAGTTCTCGGCCGTCTCGGGGACGGTCTTTCCGTAGAGGCCCATAACGACACGGCCAAGCGCCTCATCGCCGTGCTGAATGTCGAAGTAGACCTTGTGGGTGATCTTGGGACCCTTAGCGGCGGCGGCAGGCTGCGCAAACATCATGGTCGCGCCCACCATCAGGGAGGCGGCGACGAAGATCTTCTTAAGGTTGAGCATTTTGGCGGCTTGGTATTCGACCGGCGTATTTGGGCAGGAAAGAACAGTTTGGTGATGAAAATCCAAATCAATTGGACAAAACAATGGGGGAAGTCGGCGAAAATAAGGCCAGCGCCGACAGTTGTTGAAGCTACGTTTCAACTTGACAGAGCTTCCCACCCCCGGCTGTTGGTTAGCGGGGAGGCGGGTCGTTCAGTTGACAGGGGCTCAGGGTCCGGGCGGCCCAGAGTCGCAGGATGCGACTCGCTGCACAGCAAAATGCACTGTGCCCCACCTACCATTGACGGAAACGGCAAGGGACTGGTTCGTCTGATGTGCTGGGAACACGCCATCCGTGATTGTAGCATCTCGAGGCTCGGAATCTGGAACCGAGCTGGCACCGGCGCATCCAGAGAGTTGCAACGTCATCCCCAAAACGAACTTCAGTTGTCAATCTCGACAAGTTTACCTCTACATCCGTGAGGCCGTACCTGGCGATATGCCCAGCTACCGTCCCGCGAGTGCGACGACCCGCCGAATAGCGTGACCGACCACGGCACGAGATGATGTCCTCAACGAACGAGGAGGACCCGTTCCTCCAAGTCCAACAGTGCGCTCCCTCCTTTCACTTATCCCACTCCCGCTCCCGCTCCCACCCCCCCGACCCTCTAACAGGCCTGCCCCTCTGTCACTAACAAACCCGAACCACACAGAGATGTCCTCACCCAACTCCAAACCGCCCGCTCCCTCTTCACGTCGTACCTGCGCATCCGCTCGCTCGCCACGGCATCCACATCACCCGAACTCGCATCCGCGCGCTCCGACCTCGAGTCCTCGCTGACGTCGCTGGCCGACGACCTCGCCGACCTGGTCGAGTCGGTGCGGGCGGTCGAGACCAACCCGGCGCAGTACGGGCTCTCGGTGCCCGAGGTCGGCCGCCGCAAGCGCCTGGTGCAGGAGGTCGGCGGCGAGGTCGACGATATGCGCGAGGAGCTCGTCAAGGTTTCTTCTTCTGCTTCGTCCGGTGCGCGCCGCGGGCAGAAGGGCGGCGGCGGGGATCTGCCGGATCCGTCGTCTTTTGCCATTGCCGATGGGGAGACGGATGGCGGTGCCGGGGCCGGGGGGAATGATTATGCGGCGGAGTTTGAGCGCGAGCAGCAGGTGGTGATGATGCGCGAGCAGGACCAGCATCTGGATGGGGTGTTCCAGACGGTGGGGAATCTGCGGCGGCAGGCGGACGATATGGGCCGGGAGCTGGAGGAACAGGTGGAAATGCTCCAGGAGACGGAGCGGGTGGCGGATCGGGTCCAGGGGAGGTTACAGACGGGTATGGGGAAACTGAACTATGTGCTCAGGAGGACGGAGGATAAGTATAGTGGTTGTTGTATAGGGCTCTTGATCGTAGTGCTGATCATTCTGTTGATCTTGCTCTTGATATTATGATGTCGTGGGGTGGTTGATTAGTGGGTTGTTGGGAGGTTATTGGGCTGTATTGCATAATACCAAGGCGTAGATAGATAGGTCTTTCGCAACGAGGCGTTTGTTTTCCTTCTTTTCAATATTCCCATATGTCGGGTATTTACCACAACCAGGGTTAGGATACATGCAACACCCCCCAAACCGTGAAATATTCCGGGCCATTACGGCCATTCCGTCCCATCCTACAATGATAAAATGGCCCTATGTTGACTCTGTTCTGAGCCACAAATGAATTACCAACATCGTACGCCTTCTCGTACCCCAATCCCTTTATCCAAGAACTAAGCCGGTATTCCGCTTCAGCATCTGCGCCAAAACCTCTAGTGAATTTACAGCGGCTGACTTCTGGGGTACTCTGGACGGAAAGTCAACCAGCGCTGTCCGTAAAGCCGCGATAGCGGCCGTCCCATAGAACTCAATGAACTTCTGCTCGTAGTTCTCCACCATCGCCTTCAACACGACGCATTGCGTGTCGGAGATCTCTGCGTGCGGCGTGTTGACGATTCTTGCCATGGCTGTCCAATATACCCGTGGCGGAAAGGGGTTTGTCTTCTTGGACATAGCAAAGTTCCGGAGCGATATTGAAGCGAAACCAGCGCCCAGGCCTGTCATGCGGTCCATATGCTGCTGCTCAGGCACCCACTGACCGCCGTCTTTCCACCACCCTAGCCTCTGTCTCCCTTGCTCCGTCTTCTCGCTACCTCGGTAGCCGAACAGCACAGGACATACTATCCTGAACTTGGCGAGCATGATGTCAATCAGCGATGAGCCGCGCCATAGGAAATCCGGCTCCGAGAGGGTCGCGGCAACGCAGACGCCGACCGGGTCCGCTGTCTCCGGCCGCGCGCCGGCCTCGTTGATGAATTGGGCAATAGCCGCTTTCGCAAAAATGTTGATGAGGTAGAGGAAAATTGATGGAAGAGTGGCGTCGTTGTGTGCAGCACCCTCGGCTGGGTTCCTTGGCTCCAGAACGAAGCGACTGGGGTCCATCAACTCTGACTGCACTTGATTTGATAGCGCCTCACGCAATAGTCTGAGAATGTTTTGTTGCTGTGATACGATGGTCAGTAACGAACGCCTCCTGTATCGGATAGCATCAAACACGGGGGTCCGTACCTGTGTTTTGTTGACGCCTGCGACCCCCAAAGTGACAGTGAGTTGCCCGACAGACTTACGGATCTCTCGCCGCATATCGCCCATCCTTCCCTTCAAAGCTGGGTTTGATTTGGCCTGGTCAGCCATGGATTTCCGGAGCATCTTGAGATTTTTATGGATCTCGACATATTTGTCGGGACGCGTTTGCGTTGGAGGTTGGGCAGCCGAGCGCGATGTTTCGGGATTTGAGGCGGCGCCATTCGGCTGTGGCGTGTTATTAAGAAGGCCATTAATGCCGAGAACCGAGTTTACTGTCTTCGAGGGTTCTGGCGCTTTGTGCGGCGCTGTCGCTGGAGTCTGGCTCTGAGTCTGCGCCGGTACAGGTGCACTGGGGAGCTTGGGCACGGCGGGAATCGTTGTTGGTTTCTGTGACGTGGTCCCGTTGGTTTGGGCTGGGGCATTGTTGATCGGTGGTGGAACAGCAGGAACCTTTCCATTGACCGCTGGCGCAACAATAACAGGCGGTTCTGGATCGGGCAGAGGCGCGGGAATCGCGATCTTCTTTGCTTTGAGCTCATTCAGCCGCGCGCGATCCGCAGCGAGTGCCTCCTCGAGTTTGATCCTCTCTTCCTCTTTCCTTCGAGCATCGAGCAACCGCTGTCTCTCCTCCCTCTGCAACTGCTCCCGGTACACTCTCTCTGCCTCCTCCCTGACTCTGTCGTGTTCTCTCTTTGCCGTCTCAAGAAGGTACCTATGGCGCGCTTCCGAATTCCTGTCGTCGCCGAGTATTTCTTCGAGAACGTTTCGTTGTGGACTGCCGGCAGCCAAATAGTAGCTTTGCCGGCGCGGAGGAGATGAGCCTGCCATTGTCAAAGTTGCCGTTGAGTTCCGTGATGTGTTTATCAGGCCATGATACTCGGCGGTTTTCAATCGCGGTTGTTGACGGTTTCGCGGAACTGATGCCCTTTTGTCAATTTCATGTTGGGGCGCAGCCGCTAGGACCACCCCTTAGGTGTCTGCGGTCTTGTCCAAGCTCGGTAACCCTAACCCTTTTGAGCTGACAGAAAGCTTAAACTCTGCTGTTTCCGTTCCACAGGGAAGTTTTGCCACCAACAACACACACAACAACATCAGCAATCCCGCCAGGGGGTGGCTCAAGCTCCCGCCAAGAACCTCCATATCTCGAACAATTGACAAATGCCCACCCACGCTGTCTTCGAGGATGAGACGCTCATAAGGCCCTTCGCAGATAGTTCAATTCGTGACATTGTGGCTATTATGGTCTATGCCCGCTGGTCAAACGCGCACAATGCTTGGGATGGAACTTTTTGGCTCAGGCTGGCCACCCATCCATGTACACGGTAGCACAAACACGACACTCCTAGGACACCTATCTCCCATTGAGCCAATAATTTATCAAAACCTCCATTGTCTTCTTAAGTCATCATCATTTCCTTTCTTTTAGACACGAGACCTCTATTCGTACATGTACATACGAATCGTGATACGAAACAAGACAAGACAGTAGTTAGGGGTGTTTCCAAGTTATGGTGTAACGAACCCATGCAACTCGGGGGCTACCGAGCGGCAGATGGAATCGGCGCCTCTTCTGAAGGTTATTTTTATTCTGTCCGTCTTGCGCCGCAGCTGCTCAATTTTCGGTGAGACTCGTCATCACGATCAGGGATCCAACCCATCACATCACACTTGGACAACCACGCGCCAGACACGGACATTGGCGGCCTGGACCTGGCGAGAAGGGACGTGTACCGACCTGACCGGAACCCCTGGTGGCGGTGATCCACCCCCGCCCGACCGGGACCTGGGCTGTATTGGAGTGTCGTGCTTGTGTCTCGCGTTGGGATAGCAAGAGTTACCGACAATTTGAGGTTGATCCATCCCGACCTGTGTATTCCTTTTTTCAAGCTATATTCCGTTTGTGTGATGAAATGACAAAAATTGGGCTCCAATAGTCCAGAAACGGAGCTGGGGCAACCCGTATCTGCAAGAGACCTGGGCGCCTGAGCCCCCGCTGAACGACAGGGCCTGAATGGGTGATGCAGCGCTGTGTCTCTGCCCCTTCGCCCTTCGTTTGTAACTGGTGCGGGGCCACGACCCACTCTTTATTTATTCCCCTTTCCTTCTCCCACGGGGCTCGTTGGGTAAGCGTTGCCTGGGGCACTGAGCACACATCACTTGACTCAGGTCGCTACCACCTACTTGTAGGCCCAGGATCCTTCCTGCTTGCTGCTCGATTGCACTGTGCGTATCCCCAACCCACGTCGTCGCCCTCGTCGTCATCGTTCCCAACTCGAGCTCCCCCTCCGTCACACCCTCCTTCAGGTCATTCACCGCTATCGCACTCAGCCTTTCGGCACCCCCAGCTTTTCACCATCAAGATCGTCCATCTCTACACTCCCTCTTGGCTTTCTCCATCTGTCATTAACCCACTTGGGCTCGAATGATTCCCCGAAATTGACCGCGAGCATCACCTACGCAAAAAAAACCGGAAAGATCAAAAAACAACTAGGCAGAGCCCCGTCCAGCACTCCAAACTACGCCCTCCCCCCCAAAACGCATGCATCCATCGACTCGATCGTTCTGTTCGCCCCGCATCGCACCACCACCACCATGGATCAGCAGCAGCAGCACCAACAGCAGCCTCAGCCTGGAGGCGTCCCCGGCCCCACTGGCCGCCGGCTGCACATTGCCCATCGCAGGAGTCCCTCAGAGCTGACCCCTCTGATGAGTATGTTTGCGAACCCTGGCAGTAAGTTCAGATGCCTTGTGTTTTATCTACGTTTCTCTGCCCCTCCCACCCTTCCGCTCGTTTGCTATTTCCCCGATGTGGACATATACACGACGGTAGCTGACCGCCGTCTTTTGCATCAGTGGAGCAGCTGGCCATCCAGCAGCAGATCGAGCTGCTGCAGCAACAGCAACAGCAGCTTCAAGCCACGTACCAACAGTTTAACATGGTGCCTGGCCAGACCCTCGGGGCCGGCGGCTATAACCCGCTCCAGTCTGCCATGCCCAATATGTCGCCGCAGCCCGGCTACCAATTCCCGACTCAGCTTCCGCCAGCAGGAACGTTATCCCTGGCTCCTTCCGACCCAACCCATTGTCACATCGGCCGGTAATCAGTCGGCTCTTCCCCAGACATGGGCATGGGGGTCCGCCCCCCGGCGGCCCGTCGTCTGGGGGCGTTCCGGCTTCTGCCTTTTGGCAAGTTTTTGAATTCCCCTCAAGGGACAAGGGCAGGGAAAACACCCGGCGGGTCGTGGTGGGCCGCGGGCGGCGGAGGGCAGCGCCGGAGGTGGCCATCAGAGACGTCACTCTTTGGCCCTCGCCGATGCCAAGAAGGCTGCCGAGATCGCCCAGCAGAAACGTACCACGTCTGGGCTTCCAGTTCCCTGCTTCCCGGCGCCTCGAGTTCTCCCCCGAAAGACCGGAGGATGAGGCCAAGGGCGCAAACGCGACAACCACGCTCCCCCCTACAACAGAGAACCTTGCGATCCCATCTCCATCTTTCCGTGGTGGTCGCGGCGGCCACGGCCGGAGCCAGAGCATGGCCGTTGGCGCAAACGGCCGTGGCGGTCTTGGCGGCGACTTCCCCCGCCGTGGTGGTGGTGGCGGCCACGCACGCAGTTCCTCTCGCAATTTCGATGGAAACTGGCGCACCCAAGGTCAGAATCAAGGCCAGAACCAAGGCCAGGATCAGGCCGGTGGCGGTGGTCAGAATCAGGGATTCCAGCCGAGCCATCGTAGCCGTAGCTCCATCAGCCACCAGTCCATCTCCAACGTTGGAGCTTTCCAGTATCCTGGTCAGCCTCAGCTTATGCAGATCCCTGGACAGATGATGATCCCCGGCATGTATGCTGGGCAGCAGCTAAATCCCATGCTCAGTCAACTGCAGGCTCTTCAGGTCGCTTCCATGAATGGTCAGCACATGGGCGGGCTCCAGGCGAGCCAGCATGCGCCCCAGATGGGTGGCCAGCAGCAACAGCAGCAACAGCAACAGCAGCAGCAGCAGCAACGCAAGACCCTCTTCACCCCTTATCTGCCGCAAGCCACGCTCCCCGCCCTCCTGGGTGACGGACAGCTCGTTTCTGGCGTCCTTCGCGTGAACAAGAAAAACAGAAGCGACGCGTATGTCTCGACCCAGGACGGTCTTCTGGATGCCGACATCTTCATCTGCGGCAGCAAGGACCGCAACCGTGCCCTCGAGGGAGATCTTGTCGCCGTCGAGCTTTTGGACGTCGACGAGGTATGGTCTCAGAAGCGTGAGAAGGAAGAGAAGAAGAAGCGCAAGGACATCACCGACACCCGTTCCGGATCCACTGCTGGTACCAACCAAGGTGGCGGCAATGGTGATGATAACGGCACTGGCGAAGGCGGAATCCGACGACGGGGTAGTCTCAGGCAGCGGCCCACTCAGAAGAAGAACGACGACGTCGAGGTCGAAGGCCAGAGCCTGCTCCTTGTGGAAGAGGAAGAGATCAACGACGAGGCAAAACCTCTTTATGCCGGCCACATTGTCGCCGTTATTGAGCGTGTGCCAGGTCAGATGTTTTCCGGCACCCTGGGCTTGCTTCGCCCCAGTAGCCAGGCAACCAAGGAAAAACAGGAGGCCGAGAGGGCCGCGCGCGACGGCAGCATGTCGCGGCACCATGATTCGCGGGCCCAAGAAAAGCCCAAGATCGTGTGGTTCAAGCCGACCGATAAGCGTGTCCCCCTAATTGCTATCCCTACGGAGCAGGCTCCTCGCGACTTTGTCGAGAAGCACCAGGACTATGCGGACCAGATTTTTGTGGCCTGCATCAAACGCTGGCCTATTACGTCGCTGCATCCGTTCGGTACCCTGGTTGAGAAGCTTGGTAAAATGGGCGACCTCAAAGTTGAGACAGATGCCCTCCTTAGGGACAACAACTTCTCATCCGACGAGTTTGCCGAAGCCGTGCTGCGCAGTGTTAACCTCCAGGACTGGAGCATCGCCAAGGAAGACGAAGTCGCCCTCGCAGCTCGCCGGGATTTCCGGAACGAGAAGGTCTTCACTCTCGACCTGAATGGTTCGGAGGAGCTCGGAAACGGTGTCCACGTCAAGTCATTGCCTGACGGCAAGATCGAAATTGGTATCCACGTGCCGGATGTTACCCATTTTGTCAAGCCAAACTCGCTTCTTGACCGCGAAGCAAAGAAGCGTGGCACTGCCGTTCAGCTCGCCAACAGATTCTGCGCCCTCCTTCCCCCGAAGGTCTCAGGCGAAGTCTGCTCGCTCACTCCGAACCAGGATCGCCTGGCCGTCAGCGTTGTTTTCTCGGCCAACCCGCTCACCGGTGCTGTTGCCGAAGGAGATGTCTGGATCGGGAAGAGTATTGTTAAGAGCGGCGGCAGGCTCTCGCTGTCGCAGATGGATGAGGCCATCTCCGGCGCTGCTGAGTTCACTCACGACGCCGCAGAAGCAAAAGACATCCAGCTCCTCAATGTGTGTTATTTCCCTAGTCACTGTACCCTATACCTCAAACATACTAACAACGTCGCTTGTAGGTCCTAACGGAAAAGTTCCGTGAGGCACGTCTGGGTGCTGGCGGCGAACCCATTGCCCCCCTCCGGCTCCTGCAACAGCTTGACGATGAGAACATCCCCGTCAAGCACAACGTCTTTGACACGACCTCGGCGACCGAACTTGTCGAGGAGCTTATGCACAAGGCCAATGCATATGTTGCTCAGCGTTTGGCTACCGCCCTCCCCGATAAAGCGCTGCTACGTAGACACGCGGCACCCAACTCGCGTCGCCTACAAACTTTTGTGGAACGCATGACGGCGCTTGGCTACGAGTTCGATCCCTCGAGCAGCGGAACGCTCCAGAACAGCCTCTTCAGGGTCGAAGATGCTGACATCAGGAAGGGCATGGAGACACTGCTGCTCAAGTCGATGCAGAGGGCGAAGTATTTCATTGCGGGCAAGACGGCTCAGCACCTCTGGGCCCACTACTCACTCAACCAGCCGCTCTACACCCACTTCACCAGTCCGACCAGACGTTATGCTGATGTTCTGGTCCACCGTCAACTCGAGTCCGTCCTGGAAGACAAGGTAGAGTACAACGAAGACGTAGAGAATCTTGTCAAGACAGTCGAGGCTTGCAACACCAAGAAGGATTCGGCTCAGAACGCGCAAGAACAGAGCGTCCACATCGAGGCGTGCCGCGCCATGGACAAAAAGCGCCAGGAAGTGAACGGCGACCTCATCAGCGAAGGCATTGTTCTTTGCGTGTACGAGTCGGCGTTCGATGTTCTCATTCCCGAGTGGGGCTTCGAGAAGCGGGTGCACTGCGACCAACTGCCCTTGAAGAAGGCCGAATTCCGTAAAGAGAAGAGGATCTTGGAGCTGTACTGGGAGAAGGGCGTGCCCAGCTCGGCGTACGTCCCCGAAGACGAGCGCCCCAAGGCGGGCATGTCCCAGCGGTATTCCAGCGCGATGGTGGCGGCTCGCAAGGCCGAGGAAGCGGAGAAGGCCAAGAAAGAACGCGAGGAAGCCACCAGAAAGCAGACCGAGACAGGCACCATGTCGACGGATGACGTCGATGCCCTGTTTGATGATGACGAAGAAAATGCGTCCGACAACGCGTCCGACATCACCGAAGCGATGGCTGGAGCGTCGCTCGCCGAGCGACCGACGCAGAGCGTCCCTGGGTCGCCGACCCGGTCCTCGGCGGGTGCGGCCGGCAACCTCCACCGCACGCGGTCGGATTCCAAGGTGCCCACGGCCGACGCGCCGGAGACGCGCCTGACGAACAAGGAGAAGTACTTGAAGCTGTTCACGCTCAGAGAGGAAGGTGGGGACTACATCCAGGATGTGACGGAGATGACACGGGTCCCGGTCATCCTGAAGACGGACCTCAGCAAGAGCCCCCCGTAAGTCTACTGCATCATGACCAGCTACCATGGACCCGAGCTAACAGAATTATAGATGCTTGACCATCCGGTCTCTCAACCCCTATGCGCTCTAGGCTTCCGGGGCGTTCTACAGGCGTCCCAATTGCCGAAAATATGATGAGCCAGTGGTCGTCGAAGAGACGTCCAAGAAAGGAATTTGCAAGGTCTTTGAACTCGACGGTACCTAGTCACGGGGGTGGAAGATTGATAAACCAGGCCCCCTATAAAGGGCTTCACCAAAGATGGTATACTTTTTTGTATGGTGATAGTAGTGCGGTGCATTTAGGAGGAGCAGGATTCGAGACGCAAACATGAAACTGAAGCGGGCAACAACCAGCAACACCACCACCACCCGACCACCTCAACGACAACAACAACAACAACAGCAACAATTTTGTCAGGACGGTAGTAGTCCTCGCAAAAGCTGTTGAGGGTCGTAACTGGGAGATCAAGCAAAAGCCGAGAATGAAGGGAAGGGAGGAGGGCAGAAGAACACATAAGGCGGCCATCTAATAGTGAAGTAAGCATCGATTTTCCGGTCCTGTTGCAGGTGGTTGTAGCCCGTTTCACGGGTTGTCTTCGGTGCATGATCAAGCTTCGCAGCGGGTATTCGGCATAACACAACACCCGGAGCTGCTTCAGACGATGAAGATCTCTGGATGGGCCGCCTTCCGAGCTCCGGACCCTGGAGCTCGTGGTGGAACTTCTATGGCGACCGTTTGGTGAAATCTGTTTCTGATTGTAGGCCCATCTCCCTTCCGGTGGATGTTTCCCCATCCGGGTTGCACAAAGTTCCGTCCGAATCGTCGCACACTCTTTGGTGAGCTTGTAGTTTTGTCGTCGCCGCTACTGCCATGACTTGCCAACGACCGGATGTCAATATCTCTATGGTCGGTCACTATGACATGTGGTTTGTATGGATCGGGATGTTTCTATCCTAGGGCGAGGGATAGAGCATTGGAAGCACCTAAGGATCCAAATCCTCATCCGATAGGCGTGTCGGACACCCACCACCCGCATCACCCGAGTCAAGCACACTCGATGATCGACCGAAGGCTTATCTTGAAGTATTTCGCCCCCTTTCTACCCAAACGTGTTTCCCTCGCCCCGTGGAGAAGGCCTCTCGAAAACAGCTTGAGGTGCTATTCTCATCCAATCGGCCCCGGGTTCGGCCCCTTCTCCAGCATCGAACCTCGAGATCCAGAAGCCTCGTCGGCCGCCCCTACCAAGGCTGAAAAATAGCATGGGTTGATCCCGGAAACACGCCCCCGCAAGTACCGAGTCGTTGCCCACACCGGCAGAATTCGAGATCGACAGGGTGTATGCGGCGAATGTCGTCTCCGAGTCGTGCTTGGCCAGCATGGCTACATGGAGGCAATGGTGATCCCAGTCCGCACGGTCTCTGCCCAAAAGGTTCGCCGCTTCACAAGCGAGGCATCGAGGGTATCATTGGGGCGAGATCTCAAAGGAGATAATCATTAGTCGAGTACGACATGGTTTTTCCTTGGCTTTTCCCTTTCTCTCGAAGGCGCAAATTGGCCGATATCAGAAATACACCTGCATAATGAACTCCGATATACGAACTACAACAACCCAAAAAAGTGAAAGTCGCTGTCCTGACGACAAAGATGCTCCCATGTCCCTCGTCAGCAGCGAACATGACGGCTCTCCAGCGTTGGCATTGTTCGGAAGTAGATTGCTGTTGTCGCAGATGTACCCGTGAAGACAGTTCCGATGCTTCGGTGCTGATGCGGTCCGTCCGATTGAAACAAGTCTGAGACGAGCATCGTGGGCGCCACTGTCGCAAATCCTCGCAGCGTGGTAACCGTGCACCCGTGTCCCCCATCCAGCACCCCTGGTATCGCCTTGGCATTCGCCCCGAGTGGCCAATCCACCACCTTCACAGCAGACCCACAGGCTGGATTTCTCAGTTCCCGCCGGTTCCCCCCCACTTGTTCCCAGGAAGCAACCAAGTTCCGAGCAGGGATGCGAATAACTTTGTATCTTCATCCCAACCTTAAACATCACCCGCATCTCTCTGATTGGCCAATCTCAGCCTCATGCCGGTTTGTCGCAACGGCGAAGGGGTCGCGCGGGTCTCTTTCACGGCGCCTGCAGCAAGGGGGTAGGGGGGCCACTAGGGCAACAACCACGAAGAAACGAAACATGACGAAGTCTTTCTCATCACTCCTGCCCATCTGAAGTCCCGTCTTGGCTGAGCCCGTTGCCCCTCTAACCCCTGCCAGTACCAGCCTAGACCAGAAATTCTGAGCTTAACGAGGCGACATCGTCTGGTCTGGGGGTTCTGGGCATGCCCTGAGCGCCCTCGATGAAGGCGGAACGGGGGAGGGGGGCGGCATGTCGACAACCCCCCCGCAGCATTGTTCTAGTGCAACTGGGGGGTTGTCGACATGAGATGCGGATCCCGGAACGGTCAGCAGCCGCTTGTTACGAAGAGAGGCGATCTTGGCGGACGGTCTTTATTCATGGCCGTTTCCCACTTACACATGCTATGTTCCCCTTCTTTTCTCTCTCTCCTTATCCCACGCCTTCTGTCCCGTTCGCTCTTCTTGCCTAAAGCGCTGGTCTGCTTTCACTTTCCTTCAAGCAGCTCGGTCTGTCCCTCATTCAGTCCTCTTCGTCCCAGTGTACGACATCTATCTTAATATTTCTTTTAATTTACGACCCTCGGGCAGGCCTTCGATTCAGTAGCCAGGCTGGTCTTTGCTTTCATACCGAACATTCACTGCGCTTGGACGGATAGTGAACTCAGGACAGAGGAAAGGAACAAACACAACAGAACGGTTAACGAATAATCGACATACACACCGACAAGATGCCTTCCTTCAAGAAGACCTTTGGGGTTGTTGTGGCGGGATTGGCGGCCCTCTCATCGGCGCTACCATCAGTCCCCAAGTTGAGCAAGTCTCAGATGAAGATGTACCAGCACGCAAAGCGCCAAAACGCAGCCGCCGCAGCACTCGGCCTCAATGATGTCGACATCCTGCAATTGTAAGAAGAGCCACATATCACTTCTCAGGTTTCAACACCAAAAACAGACCACTAACCTTCCCCCTCTCCAACAGCGCCCTCACACTCGAGTGGCTCGAAGCGACCTTCTACCAGCAAGGCTTCGCGCAGTTCCCAGCAACCGATTTCCAAGCACTCGGCCTCGAACAGCGCGAGATCGACGCCCTGATCAAGATTGGCAAGACCGAAGAAGAGCACGTCATCCTCCTACAAAGCGCCATCGCCCAGGCCGGCGTGCAGCCCGTCCAGCCCTGCACCTACAACTTCGGCTTCACCGACGCGGCGGGCATGGTGGCCACGGCCGCGGTGCTCGAAAACGTCGGCGTATCTGCCTACCTCGGCGCCGCCTCCCTCATCTCCGACACCTCCATCCTCACCACGGCCGGCTCCATCCTCACCATCGAAGCCCGCCACCAAACCTTCGTCCGCGCCGCCTCCCGCGGCATCCCCGTCCCGCAAGCCTTCGACACGCCCCTCTCCCCCAAACAAGTCTTCTCGCTCGCGGCCCCCTTCATCCAGAGCTGCCCGGACGGCTCCAACCTGATCCTGACCGCCTTCCCCACCCTGTCCATGCCCGCCGGCGCCAGCGCCACGGCCGTCGCCGCGGGCGCCGCCGTCCAGCTGCAGAGCGACGCCGCCAGCACCGCCACCCACTGCGCCTTCACCACGGGCGGCATCCCCGGCGGCACCGTCTTCGTGCCCTTTGATCAGGCCGCGGGTTGCGTCGTGCCCCAGGGCCTCGCGGGCGTGACCTATGTCAACTTGGCGAGCGCGGGGCCACTGAATGGCGTCTTGACCGATGATATCATCGTGGCTGGGCCCATGGTTATGCAGGTCTCGTAGGTGGTGGGCGTGCTTGCTTGCCGTCTTTTTTTTTTCTCGGGGGGGGTTCTAAAGGGGTTGTTGGTTGGTTGGTCTGCGGTCGGTTTGGGACCCAAGGGGTTCGCTTTGTCCTAATTGGGGGTAGGCAAGGATATCCGGGTGGCCTACTTGCTCGTTTTGTTAGACCAGCCCAGATCAGCAGCCCAGACACACCCAACAAGCTTTATTCCCGTCGTGTCTTTTTTACATTTTCTTTTTTTCTGGTTGACTTCGCTTCTTGGGCTACATTACCTGCCAGCTGCTAGCGGTACATCGCCTGTATATAATCCTCACCTTTGATGGCGGAGTTGTTTCTCGTCTTCCTCGCGTCTATCACTGTTATGTTGGATCTCTTTTTTCTTTGTTTTATATGCCGAGGAGAGGTTGGAGATACCCGCCATGCTGTGGAGGAAAAGGGCGACAACGCACCAAAAAGCATGGTTGTTATGACGCTGCTTGGCGGAGACGGTGCAGTAGAGCCTCAAATCATAAATCTATTACCTGCTACCAAATGTTTCAGTACCTCGTCATTCATACATAATAAACCTTTGCTACCCCAGGTGAAGGTCAATAGGAGAAGATCAACGTAAGAAGTGGTTGATCAATTCCACGTAACTATTTGGAGCTCGGCTCATGCAATAAAACTCATTCAACAGACATAGAAAAAAGACAAAATACAAGATGGCACAAGGTCGTTTAAATTGCTACAAAGCAATTCCAAGTAACAATATGTGGGAAACTGACCAGTTTAATCCAAACAACTTGGCATACACCAATTCGTTTTCCCACACTATGAAACCTGGCTGCCATACTGTGAGAATTAAAAGGTAGCCTTCATTACTGCTGTTTATGTTGCATTAGGCTGGCTATATTCGTATGGCTCTTCACAAGGTTGAAATCCAACATATCACCACCATGACACCCCCATGGCTATGTAACCACGTGGCATCATCATCCAGAACAGATATCCTCTTCTCAGCGAAGCGCCGAGTATCACCGCCGGACAGCGCGTGGGTCCGAGCCGAGCCGGTCCGGCCCGGCCAACAGAGAGCAGGTCAAGAACGCTCGACCAGCGACGAACCGACCAAAATGTCTTGTCCTACGTAATGCGCTTTTCATGTGCCCCCAAACTCGCCCCTTGTCTTATTCGCGAATTGCACTAGCTTGCAGCGGGCGAACCGGGCGCAATCCATTCCATGCACAACATCGACTAGCAGGCGGATACTTGGGCCAACACTTAAAGCCAAGACAACTTTGGCTGACAGCAAGACAGGGCTTTCCCAGCCATGCTAACATGGCTGTCTCACCGCTGGCAGGCTGCCAGACTTGGCATTTGTCTCAATTTGTGGCACCACAAAGTCTCGGGCGGATGGGAAATCTTCGAGGTTCAAGAATGGGGGAAAAAACCCAGGGGGGAATGGAGAATGCAGAGAGAGGGCGAGGACGAAGGAGGGAGGGGGGTTAGAATGGAAGGGAAGTCGGAATGAGGAATAATAAATCACCGGTTTGATGCACCAGAGAACCCCAAGCCTGTGGAACTGTACACGGTATCCTGTGCGACGGCGCACATGTACACAGAATGTACCCTCCCTCAAAGGAACAACGTTACTTCCCATCCCCACGCTTCGCCGTGTCTTCAAGGCGGCGGGACTGGAGCATTTCCACGGGGAATGGACAACAGAGTCCGTCACCAGGAACAACCGGGATGAGAGGGGTACTTCAATGGTACGTACCCAGACACACGGGAATGCCAGCGTTGGCCGAGTGGATTCCCACCGATCAGAATCTCGAGATTGCATAGATAAGGTTATCATGGGGCCCACGACCCTGCATTTCCTGCCCGGTTGTTGGCTCGCTCGGAGTCGCACGCACGTGTGCAAGTGTAACCACCGTATCGCGAGACGGTTGAGACGAGGAGATAGTGTAGATGGAGCGATAGGGAGTTATCTCGAGGCCTAGATAGGGTTCTGAACATGTGAGACGGTGCGAAATACTTAAAACCTGAGGTTTCCCATGTCTTCGTTGTTGTCCTCAGTGCACCTGTTGAATGCGCCAGCACCACTCAAGCGTCCCCACTCGGCGTGCTTTCGACCGAAGGTTACATCGACCGACTCCACGCGGAAGGTCGGTAACGCGAACCGCAGCGGCGGGTGTCGCATGTGCAAACATGGGATTTCGACTTTGGCCATCCTGTCGATCACATGCTGTCTTTCGTCTCGTCTGACGAGTTGTGGGCGTTAACGACGACGACGACAACGACAACGGCAAAGACGAAAACAACGACATGGTCAATGGCCTCAATGGGTTGAATGGGGGGGGACGGATGCCTGGGGGCCACTCGACAACCTGAATAGCGAGTGCGTCGGTCTGGGAGAGCGAAGCGGGAGAGAACCAACGGACCGAATCCAGGTGCCTATCATTGACGGCCGCCAATGCATGACCAGTTGCCTTTAGCAACTCGAGATAAGCGGAGCGCCGAGGATGGATGATCGGAAGTTGAGGACTGGCCCAACCCGCGTCCGGCAACTTGCAGTGGGCGGGAGAGGCTGGGGGCACCCTGCGCTCACTTGCCAAATTCGGAATGACCCGGAGGCGAAACCGAGTGTTTTCCGCATACTGGACCAGCGAGGTCGGAGGCTGGGCGAGAATGAATCGGGTTGAGCCGGGTGAGGAGTCAAGACTTTGACGGATTTCTTCCCCCCGAAAGATAAGCCCCACCGACCCGAGGTGCGTTGTTTGGGATTAGCTCCCGTTGACCAGAGTTGACCCCGCCATAAAATTACCAAGTCGGATTTATCCATCGTTGGAGGCGGCCAATCGATCCCCGTGGATAAGTTATTGAGAGCCCCTCAAGCGCGACCCCCAACCATGAGTCGTCTGAGGTCGTCCACTCATGGCGCCGCTTACAGGGGGAGGGCACGCGAGCATGCGGAGCATGCCATCATGGAGAGCATGGCTTCTCCAAATTCGAGACAGCGGTTGCCAATCACGGTGCAGCATTGCTATCGATAAAGACAACGACAACTCGAAATGAGCAATGAGGCTATTGCGGATGGGGCATAATGACGGAAAATAGGGGAAATAGCTTCACACACTGGCGTGGCAAATGCAGTGGCAAGACAATGATCACCGCTGCACGTATGCAAATTGGCGAAGACAAGCCGGGGAGGTCGTAGAGTGGTGTGGGCATGGTTGGCGTGGGATGACAGGTGCCGCTCTTCCAGAGTGAGCGAAAACCGGCGCGGTTAGATGGCAAACCCTCGCCAAGACCTGGCCACTCGTCCCGCAAAGGGGCGCCCCTCGTGTGGGGATGCAGTCAACTTCGCCGCATGTCCTTGTCCCACACGCCCAACTGAAGTTGGCCCAGTTGTGAAACGGAGCTACGAGTTGCCCAAGCCTCCAACAGCAGCCGCCTCTTTCGGTCGACCTGTCCGCGGAGCAAGGGTAACGTGGTTTCGCGTCGTCCCATCTGTCCTTCGTGCGTCGGTCTCTGTCACCCCCACCATCCCATCCCAGACTCTCTGGTATATAGTCTGGGCTCCTTCCGCCACCTGGCTCTGCCTCGCCTTCTCTTTCCCTTCCTCATTCTCGCAGCAAAGTTTTGAGTCGACAGCGATAACCAGGAATACAACCCCATCGCCACGAACACTTCGACCAACAAACTAGTCACCATGTCTCACCTTGCCAGCGAGCCCGAGTTTGAGCAGGCCTACAAGGGTGAGCCGAAACAATGCCACTTAGCATTTGACTTGCGACCGGGAACTAACATGAAGGTTCGCAGAGCTCGTCCTTACTCTCGAAAACAGCTCCCTCTTCCAGAAGAACCCCGAGTACCGCACTGCGCTCAAGGTTGTCTCGATCCCCGAGCGTGTCATCCAGTTCCGCGTCGTTTGGGAGGATGATGCCGGCAACCTCCAAGCCAACCGTGGCTACCGTGTGCAGTTCAACTCGGCTCTCGGCCCTTACAAGGGCGGCTTGAGGTTGCACCCCTCTGTCAACCTGTCGATGTAAGAAAAACCGAAAAAAGGAAGACCCAAATATCAAGGGCAAAAGCTGACAAAAAAACAGCCTGAAGTTCCTCGGTTTCGAGCAGATCTTCAAGAATGCGCTCACAGGCCGTAAGTCGAAACAACTTGAAAACGTGATTTTTTGACAGCACTTGCTGACATGTGGGCCCAGTGATGATGGGTGGTGGCAAGGGTGGAGCCGACTTCGACCCCAAGGGAAAGAGTGACGCCGAGATCCGCCGCTTCTGCGTCGCCTTCATGCGCGAGCTCTCCAGGCACATTGGTGCCGACACCGACGTTCCCGCCGGCGATATTGGTGTGTCGGGCCGCGAAATCGGCTACATGTTCGGCGCCTACCGCCGCGAGCGTAACAAGTTCGAGGGTGTCCTCACCGGCAAGGGCCTCGACTGGGGTGGATCGCTCATCCGCCCCGAGGCTACCGGCTACGGTTTGGTGTACTATGTCACCCACATGCTCGAGCTCGCTGGCGTCGGCAACTGGGAAGGCAAGCGCGTCGCCATCTCGGGTTCCGGCAATGTTGCGCAGTACGCTGCTCTGAAGTGCATCGAGCTCGGCGCCACCATCGTCTCGCTTTCCGACTCCAAGGGCTCGCTTGTGGCGGTTGGCGACGGCCACGTCACGGTTGAGGATATCGAGTCCATCATGGACTTGAAGGTGAAGCGCCAGTCGCTTTCTTCCTACACCACCAAGGGCAACCTCCAGTACATCGAGGGCGTCCGCCCGTGGCTCCACGTTGGCCAGGTTGACGTTGCTCTCCCCTGCGCGACCCAGAACGAGGTCAGCAAGGAGGAGGCTGAGGGCCTGGTCGCCGCTGGCGCCAGGTTCGTTGCCGAGGGCTCCAACATGGGCTGCACGCTCGAGGCCATCGAGGTGTTCGAGAACGAGCGGCGGGCGAAGAAGGGCAATGCCATCTGGTACGCCCCCGGCAAGGCCGCCAACTGCGGTGGTGTCGCCGTCTCAGGTCTCGAGATGTCGCAGAACAGCCAGCGCCTGGCGTGGACCAAGGAGGAGGTCGACCAGAAGCTGAAGGACATCATGAAGAACGCCTTCGACCTCGGTGTTGCGACCGCCAAGAACTACGTCGAGTCGAGCGAGGGCGAGCTCCCCAGCTTGGTCGCCGGTAGCAACATTGCCGGTTTCGTCAAGGTCGCCCAGGCCATGCACGAGCACGGTGACTGGTGGTGAACGGGCGGTGGCAATCAATCGGATTTGGCGGAGTGCGGCGTCTCTGATGCTCCAGCGCTTTCTCAGACCGGTCGATGAACCGTTTTCCCGTATTTTTTCTGCTTTCTTTTTCCCTTTACTGCACTTTTCTTTCGGTCGGCGTTTTTTGGGGTGTTCCCATCAGGATGGAGTTGGGATCGGACGAGTTAACGACATGATTCCCTGGGTTAACTGGCTGTGGGTTGTCGATACCTTGGTTTCTTGATTCAAGCGAGAGAGCGAATGGAGGTATAGAGGGATCTGCTTTTTACATAGCAATGAAACCATTTATTAAACAACAAAATGCCCAGCGCCAGAGATGCGGATAAGCACGCCATGGCAGATTTGAATGATCCAGGTGACCTCTCATGGCCCAATCATGCCGGGGTCAAAGATAAGCCAAGATCCACCCCAACTTGTTGTGCCTCCCATCTTGATCCGTGCTGTGCAACGCTGATAAGCATCATGCTACGGCCCGTTGCGGCACTGATATGGGCGAGATATGGGTGAGATACGGGATTGATCCTGTCGAGTTTGGGGTAAAAATGTGCCCAGGGAACCGACGCTTCCAAATTCGGCAGGACTTGCCTTGCCCTGACGAGATGACCTTGTGGCGTTTGAGGCATCGCAAAATGGCAACAGCGATGTTCTTGGTGGTTACGAAGAGTAGTGCATGCCTCCAACCAACCTGCTCAACTCCGCTTTTGCGAACTCGGGGTTTGATGTGGCCCGTTCCGCCTCCGGCCCGCCTAGATGGACCTTGCATCGTCAAACGTTATCCAACTCATGTTAAAATAACCACAAAATTCACCAGGCCAATTGATGGGACGAGTCTTCCGAGAACTTTCACAGCCTCACGTTTGGGAAGCTGCTGTAACACCTCCGGGCCTTATTATAGTCCTTTTCGTTCAGCTGCCCCTGGGCCGCCATCAAGCGACAACCCGCCCCAGATTCGACATTTAGGGTCACACCCGTGGCACAGTACACCGTCTCACAATCTGGAAATAACATACTTGCATATACACATAGTTATCTTGAGAATTTGCCAACGCCTTCGCAATGAAGGATCGGCGCTTGACCGAGGAATAGCTTCATAGGCCAATGGTTCGGACACTTGAAGTTCGAACTTCGAATGTCACGCGGCCCAGGCCGGAAAGAAACGGCAAGAATCCTTCACGCCCTCTGTTTGAGGCACTGTGATTAAGGTTTGGGCACGGCGCGGTATGCAACGGGGACGCCGCGGCAGTGGTCCCCATGGGTCACGCAGTCTGCGATCTGAAAGTGCGTCCGAGCTTGGGCGGGGGGGGGGCTGAGCGACACAGGGCTGAAAGCCTGGGGGCCAAATACAATGGAGTGTGGTAGCAACAGGGGTTGCTAACCACCGCACTGATTCCTTCTCACGAAATGGAAGGTGGGAGGTGTGGCTCGTCACGGTACTCGAGCGCGAAATCTGTCGGACATCCATATTGGTGCTCAGCCATCATATGGCCGTTCCCGAATAAGGATGCAAACTGACGAACTCTCACCGAAGGGGACGCAATGGCGATTTGCGCCCCAGCGAGCATCGGGCACCGCCATTGGATTGGGGGAGAGGGGGACTTTTGGGTCGATGGCGACAGCCTATCACGACATGGGTAGTCTTCGTTTCCCGTCCAATAGCGCCTTCAGCGCAATCCACACCCTAGCCGACGACGAAAACGGCTTGTTCTCCGGAATTCTCAGGTCTCAATATCCAACACCGAATCACTCACCTCCTCTCGGGCACTCGGGGTTGCATGCGGACCCGATTACGTTACCCATTGATCGGCATATGCGAATCATGACCTGTGAGTGATGGCGATAGAATGCCCCGTTGGAGGAGTTCGTTGGCTCGCTGGGCCCGAGATGGCGACGACAACATTCCTCCGCACGCGATGGTATCGTCATAGACCCCACGGGGCGATGGTGCTCATCATAGGAAACTCGCAGACGCCACAAGGCAGCAACCGTTGCCGAACCACCACGGCGTGGATCGTCCCAAAACTCCGACATTGGATGACACTAAAACAAGGGTGATTCTCGTGGCTGTGGTTCCAGAAAGCTGTGGCCTGGCCGAACCGTGCTGACGGGTTCTCCACCACAACCCCAGCTGGATCCTACCCTCTTGCGGCAAGCACTTGGCCGCGGTATTCCGGCCAATGGCCGCCCCGTTCGGTGTCGAGACTTATTTTTTGCCCAGCCGAAAGATGGTGGGCTGAAAACTGCGCCCTGGCCGGCTCATGGAGCCGAGGGGGGTTGGCTAACCGTTCCTGTCCTTCCACAGGGCGAGCATGCAGATGGTGAACAGAGCCGTGCCTTCGTCTTGCCTGCATGTCGATGTATCCGGGGGGCTGCTTTGCCCGGAAAGGCCAAGTTTACGATGGGGCGTGGTCACCCTTATGTTGCGGGCTATGACTTATCAAGACGATGTTCCTGCCCCTGACTCGTGTGGTTACCTTGGGCTCCGAGATATCAATCCCCCATTCCTCACCTGAGATTGCCGATATTGTTTCCAGTTACGTCCAATCCAATCCTGTCTTCCCTCTCCCTCAAGTTCTGCCCAAAGTCCTTGAGTCTTGCGTACTCACACCCTTAAGTTGAAGTGTTATCGCCTCGAGAACTGTCTGGAAAACGTTTTGTATCACAAGCCAGAGCAGACTGTGCTCTCACCAGCACCATGGACAAGTCATCCGCTCGAAACCCGTCCGGGTCATTGCAGGTCAATGGCCTGCTGTCACCTCCTCTCACACCAGACCCGAACCACAGAGCCAGCAACGCCATGGGCATCATTGACGGTGCCTTTGACGACGTACGGCCACCCTCCCCAAATCCCAGTGTATCTTCAAGCACGGGGTTCAGCTCAGACCCCCGAACCTCCTCAACCTTCACCGCAACCTCCCAAACATCTTCCCATACCGCAGCCTCCTCCCCAGATCTTAGCCGCGATGACCCACATCCCCTCCCACCCAACTACGCCGTGCACGACGAGCACGAATACAACAACAACAACAACAACAACAAGCCCTCCCTTACCACGGCCACAGCCACGGCCACATCCCCCACCTCACCTATCTCACCCGCCGCGCACCGCGCCAGCACCAAGCCCCGGCCGTACACAGACGGGCGACAGGACGCCCCGTTCCCGCGGCTGTCCAAGCCCGTGGAGCTGCTGCGCAGCGCCTACGACGTGGTGGTGATCGGGTCCGGGTACGGCGGCGGCGTGCCGCCCTCCCGCAAGGCTCGCACTGGGGTCAGTCTGTTTGCCTGCTCGAGCGCGGCCCGCGAGAAGTGGCCCGGTCGAAGTACCCCCGCTGGCGCGATCGATGCGGGCGAAGGAGCTGCAATTATTCGGGCATGTTCTCGCCCGGGTGGGTGAAGGGTTCCCAGGTGGAGTGGGGGATCCGACCGGGTTGTATCATTTGATTATGGGGAGGGGGCAGAGTGCGGTTGTGGGGAATGGTGAGTTCTTTCTATTATTCTCTCTCTTCTGTCCGGGTGGGATGAATGGAGAAAGAAGTATGATACTAACTGTTGAATAGGACTTGGTGGGACAAGTCTGATTAATGCCAATGTGTTCATGGAGGCGGATAAGGAGACACTAGCGATGAAAGCATGGCCTCCTGAAATTCGCGAGAATGTGGAAGAGTTGGATAAGTGTAAGTTGTGTCGTTCACAGGTTTTGTTGTTGAGCCCCCGGTCACTAACGTGGAATAATAGACTACAAAAAGGTGGAAGAGGTCCTTGACCCCCAGGAATACCCGGCCGAGTGGCCTGAACTCCCCAAGGCCAAGCTACTCCAGAAGCAGGCCGAGCTGATGGGGCTCGGGGGCAAGTTCAAGAAGGTGCGCCAGACCACGCGCTTTATCAACGGTCCCAACAGCTGCGGCGTCGAGATGTCGCCGTCGTCCCTGACCGGCCAAGACGCCACTGGAGTCAATGATGGTTCTAAGAACACCACCCTTGTCACCTACATCGCCGACGCCTGGAACTGGGGCGCCGAGTTGTTCTGCGAGTGCGAGGTGCGCTACATCGAGGAGGACAAGAACGGCGAAGGATACCGTGTTTACTTTGCTTGGCACGGCCGGAATAGGGGGCTGTTCAAGGCCAACCTGCATGGCGACCTTATGTGGGTGCATGCGAAGAAGGCCGTCTTCCTTGGCGCCGGCGCCATTGCCTCGACCGAGATCTTGCTTCGGAGTAAGGCTATGGGGCTTGAGGTGAGCGATGAGGTTGGCCAGAACATGAGCGGAAACGGAGACATGTTGGCGTTTGGGTAAGTGCTTGCTACGAAACGAAAACCAAGTACCTGGTGTCTGACAAGCAATAGTTATAATACCGATGAGACCGCCAATGCCATCGGGCAAGAGTGTCCGTCGCCATACCACCCCATCGGCCCGACCATCACTAGCGTCATTGATTGCCGGGAGGACGAGACCAAGCCTGATTTCAACCCATTGGACGGGTTTGTGCTCGAGGAGGGTGCCATCCCTCATGCCCTGGCCCCTCTCTTCCAGGCAATGATCGATCTCATGCCGGGGAAGAAAGACCCCCAGAATGATACGCTTATCGAGAAGACTCAAGCAGCCCTAGCAAGATATAGCAGCAGGTTCCTTGGGCCCTACTACAAGAATGGGGCGGTGCAGAAAACACAGGTCTACCTCATTATGTCTCACGACAGTAAGATACCTAGTTGACCCCTTTAAAGCCCGACAGGCACTAACAACGCTATCCAGGCAACCAAGCCGTCTTGTCGCTCAAGGATGACAAGCCGATGCTTGAATTTCTCGGTGTCGCTCGGGGTCATCATGTCAAGAAACTTAACAAGTTGCTTGAGAGAGCTACCGAGGTCGTTGGCGGTACCCTTGTACAAAGTCCCTTTTACGAGCTGTTGGGCCAACAGGTCACAGTCCATCCCATCGGGTATGTAACCCTCCACCAACACCCCTTCTCTTGTGCCACCAACAGGATGCAACCTAACCTTAAACTTTAAACACAGTGGCGCGTGCATGGCCCGAGACAACACGGGTAAAACCGGTGTAACCAACCATGTTGGTAAAGTTTTCAGGGGAAGGAATGGTGAGACCCACGACGGCCTGATCGTGACGGATGGCTCGGTAATCCCTACGGCGCTTGCCGCCAACCCTTTTGCCACCATTGCCGCGCTTGCTGAGCGCTCAGTTGAGGCATACGCCAAGTCGCAGGGTCTCACCATCAGCGAAGAGAAGAATGCCATCTTGGATCTCCTCGGCGAGCCGCAGCATAAGCCAAAACGCATGCGGCCGAGTCACAAGCGCGAGCAGATCAACGTCCTGGAAGAGCAGGATAGCATCAGCGTGGCTAATAAAGTCATCCGCAGCGCCCGCGATGTCAGCGCGAGCGGTATCGGTTTCACCGAGGTCATGTCGGGTTTCATCCACCCCGACGAGGACCTCAAGGAAGACAACAAGGACACGTACGAGCTTGCCCATCGCATGGCCAAGTCGCTATGCGAGAGCGCGCGCTTTTTCCTGAGCGTGCAGGCGTTTAACACAAAGGAGATGGTCAACCACGCGCAGCATCGTGGCATGCTGACGGGTACCTTCGTTTGCCCGGCCATTCGAGGTTCGCCGTTTATGGTGCAGCGCGGAGAGTTCAATCTCTTCATTCTCAACAACAAGGCGCCGGGTACCCGTAACTTGACGTACGACTTCGACATGACCGGCGTCGACGGCAGGAAGCTGCACTTCCATGGTTACAAAGTGGTCGACTCGTCAGTTGCCCTAGCCCCGTTCCAGTTCTGGAAGGCCACTAGCACCCTGTATGTGACCATCAGCCAACACGTGCCTTACATGTGTGCCGATCTCGACGACGAGGATGCCTGGCGCCGGGCGCCTGTCATCGCCAAAGGCATCATGCACATCCAGCCTGCAGACTTCTTCTCGCAGATCAACACCATGACGCCCACTGGCAGCAACCTTCTCAAGAAAGCCATCAGTGCGGTTCGTTTCCTGACCTACTTCACGCGCAAATCCTTGTCACTTTTCCTCTCGCCGTTGACGCCCCTGGAATATCCCACCAAGACCTTCAGCGGCTTCATCAACCACACGCCCGCCGACAAGTCCGTCGAGATCCTCGCGTCGGACGGCGTGTCCTCGCGCATGCACATCTGGGAGCCAACCCACGTCCCCGGCAACGACCCCAAGAACATCCGCAACCTCTTCATGATCCCAGGTGCCTCAGTTGACCACCAGATCTTTGCCCTCCCGACCATCCCCTACAACGCCGTCAACTACCTCACCCGCGCCGGCTACCGCGTCTTCGTCTCCGTCCACCGCATCAGTCAGCTCATGATCGCCGGCAGCAACTGGACCACCTACGACGCGCGGCTGGACCTCAAGGCCTGCCTGGAGCACATCCGCGACGTGTACGGACCCGAAAAGATCTACACCATCGCGCACTGCATGGGCAGCGTGGCGTTCGCATCGGGCCTCCTAGACGGCACCATCCCCGCCTCCTGGATCCTCGGCATCACCTGCTCGCAGGTATTCATGAACCCTGTCTGGGGCCCAACCAACATGGCCAAGGTCATGGCCGGGCCGCTGCCCATGGACCGGCTGTACGACCTCTTCGCAGGCAGCTGGTTCTCGTGCAGCACCTCGCACAACGACACGCTCGTCCAAAAGGCGGTCAACCAAGCCCTCCGCCTCTACCCACAAGCCCGGCGGGAGATGTGCAACAACGCGGCCTGCCACCGCACCTCGCTCGTCTTCGGGCGGTGCTGGAACCACGCCAACCTCAACGAGGCCACGCACCGCCAGATCGACCGCTTCTTCGGCGGCGTCAACATGCGCCAGCTCAACCTGCTCATGAAGATGGGCTACGACGGCCACGTCATGGGCAACGCGCCGCTGTACGAGCCGCTCACCTCTGAGGCCAACATCGAGCGCCTGCGCGGCATCCCCGTCATGCTCTTTGTGGGGCGCGACAACGCCGTGCTCTCGCCCGAGGCCACCGAGCGCACGTACGAGACGCTGTGCGACGCCTTTGAGGACGGCGAGTACAAGCGCAAGGTCGTGCCTGGGTATGGACATCTGGATGGCTGGATGGGCCGGAATGCCTGGAAGGACGTGTATCCCTTTGTGCGGGAGGAGGTGGATCGTGTGACGAGGGGGGAGGCGTATGAGTTTGTGGAGCCGGACGATCGGTTCAAGGCGATGGTTCATGGGGGGGAGTTGTTGTATTGATTGATTGATTGTGGGTTATGAGGAAGGGTGTAAGCGGGAGTGTGTTTGTTATGTTAGAGGTGGTGGTTGGACGGAGTTTTGGATACATACCCCCTGATATGATTTTGGATTTTTTGGATTGGGCCTGGGCGTTTTATCCCTTATGGTTTGTTGGACGACCAGTCATGTTTTTTTGTTTCCCTTTCTATATAGACCAAGTCTGCGTGCGTGGCTTGATATGTATATGACCATCATCAGGTGTTCGATAGTGTTAGCTAAATATTGGCCGGTCCAGGTTATCATTATACGAGAACACCCAACTTCGTCAACAGAACCACTTGTTATTGTACATAAATACATTATCGGCTGAAATGCGGATTCATCTCCCTATCTTTCAGATGATGCCGCTTCAAATCACTTAAATGACAGCAAGAGTTACACCATCATATCACAATGAAGTATCATTCAATATTAATCATGGCAAGTTTCATTATCGCGAAATACCAATACAATCCCAATCGTTAGAAGCCCCAATATAATGCCATTATGCCCCCAACACCATTGCGTCCTCAAATATACACATGAATCACAGTCTTTGGTCCAGCCTGCCCCAACCACCCCCTTACCACATCGCAGCCTTATCGAAATCAAACCTCCCCAGCTCCTTATTGGCATCCTCCAAATCTTTCTTGGCTTTCATGCGCATGTAGAAGATGGGGCAGTCCTTGCTGCTGCAGATGACCTCGCAGTGCATGCTGCCCTGGCAGCGCTGGCATTGCGTCCACAGGCGGCTGAACCTCACCTCCAGATCCGACGCCTTGTCTAGCGTCTTCTTGTAGAGCTCACCGACGCGCGGCGCATCATCGGCACACACGGCACCCTGGCTCTCCTCTTTGCCCGTGAGCGGCTTCTTGCAACCCATGCAGGTCTGCGTTTTCTTGGCGAACTTCATCAGACCGCCGACGGTCGGCGCGGCGACCGAGATGGCTCTCGTGTGCGCGCCCGAGAGGAGTGACTTGGCCTTGGCCTCGCTACCGAGGATGGGCTCAAAGATGCGACCCAGCGGCTTAGCCAGCTGGTTGTCCAAATAGTACTTGGTGTCGATCGGGACATTGTGCTCGAGCACGTACATGGGGTCCTCGGAGCGCTCAAAGTTCTTTGAGCCTGCCGCGCCCTTGACCATGACGTAGGCCACTCGGTCACCAAGCCCAGGGGCTGATCCAGGATCACGTTTCCTCATCCTCTGGGCTAGTTCGACGTGGGCTTGTTTTGCCGCGTAGTCATCCTTCGTCAGGGCTTTGGTGATGACCAGCTTGGACATGTCAATCTTGTTTTGCAGAAGGTCCGCGATGGTGTCCTTGACGTATCTGTGGCGGGTTAGCAAGGGAATTGGGATAGGGCAAGTGGGTGACATACTCTTGAGCACCCATGACATCTCGGTCGATGAGAATCATCCTCAAAACTTTCTCGATGACGGTCTGTACCAGCAGACAGTTGTCACGACGGACGGTTTCGATACCCTTGGTATCCATCTTGTCATGCTTCTCCGGCTTCGTCCAATAGAGTCCTGCGTAGCGCTTCTTGTTGATGAGAAGGTAGGGGAAGTAGACCTTTTCGAACTCCAGTTTGATGGGTTTAACAAACTTGCTCGAGACGAACTGGGAGGCATCCTCGCCAAGCCTCATTGCTTCAGCCAAATCGGTGGTCCCGAACTTCACCATGACGGAATCGGTATCACCGTAGATGACCTGGGCGTCGTGGGAGTAGCCGTTGGCAATATTATACCTGTTTTCCACCTCCTGCTTGGTCCTTTCAATCATCTGACGGCCAAAGCTAGTTGTGCTGCTGGCAATCTCCAAGCAGGGAAGCTTGCCGTTCGTCGCACCTGTCAGGCCATAGACGGAGTTGGCGCTGATCTTCAAGGCCAGTTGCCGACCGTTCAACACGGCCTTCTTGAAAGGGTCTGTCTCCGCAGCCAGTTCCCTCTTCGCCTGTTTTCTGGCGGAAAGCAACTCCTCCAGAATCTGAGCGAGCAGGCCTTTCCTCTGCTTGGAGGTGACGAACATGTCCCCGCTCGGGGTCACGATGTAGTCCTCGTCCTTCTTCAGGTTCCATCTCTCAATATCCTTCTTCTTGATGAGGGTCGTGTAGCAGAGGTTATGGGCCTGCATGATACTGGGGTACAGGGAGGCAAAATCCAGTGTGGCAATGGGGACATCGTAGTAGTTCTTGATGGGATCGATGACGGTGGCGCCTTCATATTGTTCTTCCGATGACTCTGTCGTCATGTTGGGGATGACCAGCTTTTGCTCCAGGGCTTTGCGGCAGAGCTGACTCAAGAATTTCACTTGTTGGCCGCGCGCAAGAAGGAAGTTGAAGGGCACACCCGTGACTCTTGCCATTTCGGTGTAGTTTTCGAGACAAGACAGCTTCTCCATCAGCCTCTGGGGGAGGTAGGCATCCTTGAGGCAGTACAGCGCCAGCCTGCGCCTCGATTCTGGTGTGCCTTCGAAAAGTTCCGTGATCATGGAGTGGTGGACGTCTTCCTTTTGCTCGCCCAGGAAATGAGACGAGACCGAATTCAGCGTGTAGCTTCGAAGCTGGTGGTCGCGCTGGATTAGCTGCAGAAGATCGAGCTGAAGCCGTCCGCTGATGTTGGTAACCTTGGTGTCACGGTTGCCCATCTGCTTGCTGGAGAAGTTGGACTCTTTTGAGTACGACCTGACACGTGTACGGGACCAATAGTCAAAATCACGGACTTTGAGGTGTTTGGCCCGGTCGATAAGGTAGGGGAAATCGAAGTTGGCAATGTTGTAGCCGGTGATGATATCGGGGTCCACTTCCATGAGGAAGTTCCTCCATGCCGATAGCATCTGGTCCTCCGTGTCGAAAGACATGACCTGAGTGGCCACAATTGGGCTCGTGGTGTCCAGACAGAAGACGTTTCGGACGAATGGTTTCTTGTCTCCGTATTTGGTCACGACGTTCGCGATTTGAATGACGGAGTCGGTGTGGGCCTCGGGGAAGATGCCTTTCCGGCCGGCGCATTCGATATCGAAAGAGAGGATCCTCAGGGGCGCCATCTTGGACCACTCGCCAACGGGCTTGTGTGAGATCAAATCTTTATAGCTGATCTCGGCTTCAAACTGGCAGTTGGACTGTGTGTTGGTCATGGGTATGTATTTGCCAGCCGGTGCCTCGACCCAAGCCATACCGGCAATCTGGATCCGACGTTAGCTTCACGTTCTTTCCCCTGCTGTCATTAGATTCCACATACCGAGCAGTCAACCATGAACCGAAGCAGGTACTGAATATTGTCATAGGTCATGATGGACCCGTCCACGCTCTTCCACATGCCCTTCCAATTGGCATTGCCGCTCTCGATCAACGTGCGGACTTTGTTGATAAGCTTCGGGTCGGTGACGGTGACCTTGATGAAGGGATTTTGGACATTCCCCTGAAAGCCGTAAATGTTTTCCCGCATGGTCAGGGTGACAGAATCGATGGCTTGGTGGCTGATGGCTAGCTGTGTCTCCAGGTAGGCCTTGAATTTGGGGCAGTCTTCGGGGGTAAAGGAGATAGGGGCAGCGACATATAGATAGTGCTTGAAGCCTTTTACATGCAGCAGCACAGAGTTGCCGTTCTCGGTAACACCAAAGAGCTTCACGGTTGCCTGGCCGCCCCCAAGTGTGCCCTCCTCGGCTTCGATGGCCTGGAAACAAAGACTGTCCTTCTCTGGGTCGTAGTCCTCGGGAATTGGTGGACGACTCCAAATCTGATCCTTCTCTGTGTTGTTCTGCTTGAGATCCGAGATATCTTGGCTCATGCGCTCGAGCACCTCGGTCTCAAAGGTGCTTTTCTGCTGGCTCGAGGCCAGCTTGCCCTTTCCGTCATTCTGTGAACTGTTGAATCGGACAGCAGGGGAGGAGGGAGGATCCTCTAGACGGCGCTTCTTCGAGGATACGGGAGTGGAGACAATGTTTCGACGGGCGCTCGAGGCTTCACCAAACACCCTCTTCTTGGGGAGTGTTGCCGACGGCATCTCGGGGCTGATGGAAAACCGGGTTCGTGTTATAGGAGTAGGTCGGGGGTATCGAAGTAGAACCTTTGTGTGATAAATCCGCCAAATCATGAACGGGTGTTGCGTGATTTCATCGTGCGACGGTTCTTGGAGTTGGAGTTTCCAAAAAGAAGGACAGCTGAGCCGGTGCAAGTGATAACGCGAAATCCACCCTTGGGGACTCGGAGACGCGCTCCTGCCCTTGTTACGTGACGAGCCCCACTTCCTGACGCGACTGATTTAATGGGCTGCGGCGCGCACTTACAGTCTTGCCATGATGGGGCATTCTAGTTGAGTACCTCATTATACTTCAGATAAAACACATAGGAAAAACTATACTTCAGATAAAACACATAGGAAAAACTTCAGAGAACACCCTCACACCATATCAACATTATGGGTTACTTGTAAATGCACTTTGTGTTAATCTTCATTATATGGTTCACACTTCTTACTCACTTTTGCACATCGTGAAAGCAAGGGAAACACTACTTTACCCTAACCCTTGATGCGATTTACCCCGCCAACAACGGTTGTTGAGGTACCTCTTGGTTGGCCGCCCGCCCTGACATGTACAACAGCAGTGCATGATGCTAGACCTCAACTTTAGTTCAACGTTTGCCCACCACAACCCTACAAATTAGATCCTACAGAAATACACCCTCGCTACTACTCAATCAGATGGCAGACAGACACGCGCCCTCCTCCCGGACCCTCGCGTCGGGCGTATCCAAAGTACGCAGCGGGGTACCGTCCGCTGCGAGCGTGCGCCGCAACCTCTTCCAGAGCCAGCTGACGCGCCGAGCGCCAGCGGCTTCGCCAGCATCCGAGGAGCTGCACCTCGACGCCGACGTGCACAAGGAACACCAACACAACGGCCAATTCCAGCCGCCGCAGGCCGAGACCTCCTTCCCGCAGGACGACATCGTGGTGCGCGACCACAACGGCGAGATCGAGCTTGGCGACCCGCCCACGCCGATTATCGACGACCCCGAGGACATGGAGGCGCTGGAGGCGCGACACGAGAGTGAGCTGGAAAGGGAGCGCCTGGCCGAGGCGGTGAAGCAGCACCAGATTGACCAGCACAGCGTGCCCGCACAACCTGAAGGCAAGGACCCTACCTCCTTCCCGTCTACTAGCAGCACCTGCGCTGCTAGACATATCTCACCTGGTGTCCCTCTGACTAAGACCAACGATTCCGCACCGACTATAGAGCTCCTCGAGGCCGTCAAAGCAAGCTTGAGAGCCAAAGTCGCGGCGCTAGAAGAAGATAATTGGTTGTACGAGCCGGGAGCGCGGCGGTAACAGCACTAGTAACAGGTTGTGTCTATTCATGAAGCTTCGTAGCTCATCCCGCATATGACCCGAATTCCCAGCCCAGCCCTAGGAACCGCAGCTGATTAATCCAGCCCCTCAGCAGCAGGTGCCTCTACCCGGCGAGCCGCTGGCCTACTTTGCCCGCCACCGGGCGCGCCGCCTCCGAACAAGCTGCCCATCATATCAAACAGTGGGTTGCTTTGCCTCGGCCGCTGGATGCCAAAGTACATTTCGGCAATCATCTCCAGCGCCGTATCCCAAGTGTCACCCAGCTCATTGATGTTTGGTCCGTACTTTGTCTTCAGCTGCCGGAATAAGTCGGGCGTGCCCTTTTGCACTGCTAGGAGGAGCAACCCAAGGAAGTTGAGTAGCGGCAGGCTGGGGAAGATGCGAACGTCGGAACCTTGCGAGCTTACGTCCTGCACCGCAAGCCCTTTGTTATCGGCCGCCAGGGCGCTAACGAAGGTACGGTATGAAGCATTGGCGGCGCGGACGTTGGCGACGAGCAGATATGGCAGGACGGCGCGGGCGCAGTAGAGGGGTGCCGTGTGGGACTCGTCCTCCTTGTACCAGTCGTACTCCATCCGGCTGAGCACTTCGGCCGACTCCTTGGTTCCGAGTATTAGGTGCCGCTCCGCCTCCTCGGCCTCATGCTCCTCGGCGAAGAGCGCGCCAACCACGTGGTGTAGCTCCGGGTCGCCGGCCGGAAACTCGCCGAACTTTTTGGACCACCTGTATCGTGTGTCTAGTCAGCCACCCGCAAACCCCCAAACCATAAACTACCGCATCCCCCTCCAAAAATAAATAAAAGAACATGGAAACCCACTCAATCATCTCCTTAATAAACTTCTTCCTCGTCGGCTCCTCCCTCTCAAACAGCCTCAAGCACGTCAACAGCTTGCCACGCGACGCACCATCCGGCTTCTGCGCCGCCTGGCGATACACATCCACCAGCAGGATAGCCAAGTCCCCGCCGCTGCCGCCCTGGCCCGCGCGCAGCAGCGCCTGCGACACGTTGGAGAGGATGTCGACGGCCGCCGGCCAGTTGGCCTGCTTCGTGTAGCGCGCCGCCACCAGCCGCGTCTCCTGTGCCGCCTCGTACTGCTCCTCGAAGGCCCCCTCCGCGATGCGCTTCTGCAGCCGCGCGATGATCTTTTCGATCTTGGACGCCATTTTGTTCTTCTTGGGGGGGGGAGGAGAAGAGGTCTCTCTCTCGTCGGCTGTCTGCGAGTGGGGGGATGGGGGGGGGTTTTGATCAGGTCGAGTCAGGTCGAGAGGTCGGGTCAAGTGGGAGAGGGCGGATAGTTGGTGATGGGGATGCTGGTGTTTTTGTCGGGGCTGGTCTTCGGGGGTGGTGCGGCCGTTTCTTCCCTCACTTCGCGCCTTGATCTTTCAGTGTCGAAATGAAGAACGGTGTGGAGGAGTCTCAACCGGTCAGTCGGTCTCGAAGTGGGCTCTACCCCCCGAAGCTCGGGTATGTACCTGATATGATGATGGTTGGGGTTGAATGGTAGGCAGGTTTCAGTGAGAGGGAAGCTCCAGTTCCCCCCGCCCTGCTGTCCGCCCCGCCACGTTCGAAGCTGCCCCGCACACTGTTTCCTAGAATATTTACACTGTGTGATTGGCGAAAGTCTAGTCCATTTATGGAAGTTGTAATTATAGAGAATAGTTTTCGACCTCTATTCCTTTCAACTACCTAAGCTGTTATTTCCTTGCTTTGGCCCACGAGCTTCGTGGCGCGAATGTGATGGGGGGATGGGGAAGGGGCTGGCGATGTATCGGTTGCTTCATATTTGTTCAACCAAAGCTATCGGCGCTGGACTGTTCCCTGCTTGGGCTGATGGCTTGGTAGAAAGGAATTTCGAAGCTGGTGTTGTTGGTGGTACATAACCATCCCTCACACACACCCTAGTGTGGCGAGTTTACCAACGTACATGCCGATGGTCGGCATCGACGGGAGAATCCAAGTCGAACGTGCTCCCATGAATTATACTCAGGGGGTATCATCCGCCCATGCGTCCCCGTATGCCAGTGCTCCTCCTGACGCGATGCGAAAACCCTCAGCTCCTCCCAAGTACTAGCCTACAAATTCCACCAAAAATAATAAATCGCTGTGTCATGCTCGGTCAAGACAGGTATTGTGTATCCCCAGCACCAACCGTACCCCCGACACGCCTAGCCCCTAAATTTAAGTCTGCTTGAATGGAATGCAACGAATCCGGCACAGCCCAGTCTCCAACCCAACGAGCACCCAGCACTCTCAACGAGCCAGCTTTTTGTAAAGTAACCGTTCCGACTTGCGTCTCGGTCTATTCTCGCTCATCGAGCAGCCCTTCTTCGTTCGGGTACCTCGCTTTCCCTTTGCGACCTTCCTCGCAGCTTCTGTCTTGATCGCGATCTCGTTGCTGTCTGCCTGCTCGTTGTTGTCTAGGTCATCCTTGCTCCTCGCATTCTCTTTATCTGCATCCCTCTTGTTGCTCGTGTCCTCTTCATTGTCCGAAGCCACTTTATCGTCCAGACACATCCTCTCTGGCGATGGGCCTCTGGGAACCTGATGGTAATTCGAACCAAGGGGCGCATCAGAGAAGAACTCTCCTATTGGCGAGGCCGTTTCCTAAATACTCTTCACCTGCGCCTCGGGGCCGGTATCTTGGGGATCACTCAGGTCAATCAACGGCTCCTCTTCGTCTCTCGTCGTAGCTTGTGCCGGGCCACTGCCCGCGCTGCCATTAGCAGTAGTAGCACCGCCACTGTTATTGCCATTGCTGCCCAGCCGTGTGAGTAACTGCGCGTTCGGCCGTTCCTGCATCTCCAACGCCTTAAGCGGGCTAGTGTTATTAGGGTCCTGCAACGACACCTGCTCGAGCGCCGGTGAGACGCCCATTTCCATCTCAATGTAATTCTCATATGAGGGTGGTGATGTCATCGTTGCCGTTAACCCAGGGGTCTCGTTGGTAGTATCGACGAGGTCTGGAATGGCCGTATCTTGCGTGGTTCTGGCAACCCTGTTGGGAGTTACGTCGCCGCCGGCGGTAGCCTCGAATACCGAGTCATTGTCGAACGGGGCGTCGAACGGGGCGTCGCGCATATCGTCGTCGAAATCTCCCGCCGACGCGTGATTAGTGTCCATTGAATCGATACTAGCCGACCGCTGTAGCCGCTTCGACTGCGAGCCGTCGCCAACGCCAGCGCTCCGCTTATGGCCAGGCCGATTTGATTGTAGCAGCTCCTGCTTGAAGAACCGGTTGTCAAGCCGAACGAAACTTTTGAGCGCGTCCGGCAGCGGTAGGTTGTCTTGCTCCAAGGCCTTGTCTGTCGCGTACACGAGGATAGGCTTGCACCCAACCGAACAGGTCTCGCGCATAACTGTTTCGTAGGTCACTTGCTACGAAAGGAGTCAGTAACAGCTAACAGTAAACGAGAGGCCATACTCACTGTGTGCTCGACTGTGTTGTCCGCCATTTTGAGGGACGTCTTCCACCAGCTCTTCTCTCCGACCACAGGAGCATCGTCAGCGGACTCGGCCCCGGCTTCGCTGGCCGGGACATGCATCCGTTGGTAAACGGTATTTGGGTCATTGACTACGCCACAAAGCGTGTACTTGTGTGTGGGGTTCCACTTCTCATCGGTGGAAGGTACTGTCAGAAGCGAGGACATTTTACGATTAACCTCATGAATTGCCTCCCTCTCCGGCAGGATGACCTCTGGAACGGTTGACATTAGTGATTGCGCACTAGCTCTCGGGTCTGGTTCCCAATTACCGTTGATGAAACTCTGGATATCCGCCAACCTATCCTCGAGCTCCCGTAGCTTGGCCTCGTAGTAGGTAACCGCCTCAGACTCTTCAGGTAGCAGACTCGGTTCGCCTGCGTGATCCTGCAAGTAGTACTCGCCCTCACCCTCGAATGGGGTCTGCTCATGCGTCCTCCAAAAGGCGCGGCGCTTGATTCTTGTTAACTTCTGCTGATATCGGTTCACCGCTTCTTTGATGAGAACTCTGCGGTCATAGGCCTTGTTCGTTTCGCGGTTGACCCATTTTATAAGCTCCTCTTCTTTCTCAATATTGGCCTCGTACGCCTTGAGCAAAGCAACCATCTCCACCTGCAACTCCTGGAGCTTTTCCCCATTACTTTTCAAGTACCGGTCGAGGTAGAAAGTTTCGGGTACCTCTAGCGGCACAGGTAAATTCTCATCTTTCTGGAAACGACAGGTGAAAATCTCTGAGGCCTGGCTGATCCAGGCCATCCGCGTTGAACCTAGATCTTCCCTTGCCAATCTTAGATCGGCAAAGAAAAGCCAATCTAACACATGGTAGAGATTCTTATGCATGGGATGTGTGTCTTTGCTGACCTGGAGGTCGAGGAGGCCGAAGCGATCCCCACCCTGGTGGGTGAAATCGTCGAGAGCGACAATCTCTACCGAGGAGATGAGTGTTTCCCTCTTCCCGCGGTTACCCTCGCCCGCCTCGAATTCGGCAAAGTTCTGGAAGAAGTCCTTCTCTGCATCGCCAGTCTCCTGTGCGTCCGGGTGCCTGGCGCGGATAAGGTTGTCGGCTGTCCCGTATGCGCGTTCTGTTAGCTCAAGGAAGGCTATCAGGCGATGGAGTTCGTTGGACCAAGATATGGCAGGGTCGTCCATCCATCCGTCGGGATTCGGTCGGCCGGGTGCGTATATCGATCCACCTTGCCACCAGTCGCTCTTATTGCCGTAGCCGTAGCTGGGAACCACACTACTCTCGAGTAATACGTTGCGAACTGCAGGAATTTGACTGAATATCATCAAGAGGGCCCCGACACGATGCTGGTCCCAGTCTCGATCCTTACGGCATCGCAGTAAGACCGGCATCTTATCCTTCCGAACTCGAAGGGTCGGATCTGGGTCGTTCTCCTGCCCCTTCACGGGCACCATGGCCCATTCGTCTGGATCGTAGTCCGGGCGATTGGCAGGACCGAAATGCACCGAGGACTCCCCGTGGTTGGTAATGACGCCTGACTGCTGCTGCGTCGGAGGAGGGGGCGGTGGGAATGCGTGTGGAGTTTGAATGCCCGAGACCGTTAAGGATTCATTGATGGCTCGTTGAAGTTGGTCCTCCTCTTCCTGGCGGTTGCTCGGGGTAGCCGTGGTGTACTCTCCGGTAGCGATATCGGCGATACGACTCATAGGCGATCTATTATTCGCTCTCGATGGGGGCCGCGAGGGCGCGCCATAGTAGTTATTCGGCTCGGTTCCGTAGATGACGGGGGGTTGCGTGTTGATCCCAAAGGCTGAACAGAACTTCGTCAGCACATGGAACACGGAATCTCCCGCAGAGAATAGAATCACCTTCGTAGTTTGGTCTAGTGGTCGAAGGATCCTCGCCTTCGCGGCCGGAGGAAAACGCGATCTCGTCCCAGCCGTACTTGCGTTTGAACTACGCCAACGTCAGCAACCACGGCGCTGTGCGCGCAAACCCAAGAAAAGCACCAACTGACCTTCTCACAGTCATCGAGAATCTCGTTGACGACCGTTTCAGCGTTGCCATGATTGCCCCGCAGCGCGGTCGAGATCATGGAGAAGTCGTTAAAGTTGGTAACCGTTGCCACCATCCTCACCTGGTCTTCCGAGACCACTACCTGGCTGAAGGCCATCCTCGTTTTCCCACTCCAGCGATGGCTTCGCCGTTAGAGGATGTGAAAGTCGGCTTGTCCAGAGCTATCGAGATGTCATCTGGGAGAGCGGACTGGGTTGGCGGGGGTTGGTGGGCGTCGGCGGCGGACAACCGTCACAATGGTGGGGGAGCTCTGGATCTTAGCCCCGTTCTTGGGCTGGGAGCTGCTGCGGGATCGTTAACTCACTCCCTCCCTGGTTAGGTTATGGGTTGGATAACCGGTACTGTGGTGCTCCAACATGCGGATAAAATAAAACGACTCTGTTTATTGGTTGTGCCAGAAATGGAACTCGGGGTCATCAACACATATGGCTGGTTTTATGGTTGCTAGCTGCATGAGTACGTACCTAAGTTTGCGCTGTTGTTGGAGTTTGACTTCGACAATGGTTTGTCTTGAATTGTACCTTCCTTTTCCTTTACCTTGCGCCCCGGCGTCCGTTGGTCGACAGTTACAAGGAAGCTCCGGTGTCCAGGTCTTGGCGTAGGAGGGGCACAGAGGGGCCGGCGGCAGCGGCAGCGCACGGACTGTGCCAATCGTTACCCGATGAAATTAGGTCATTCACAGGCATACTGTAAAGCGTTTGGCTCCAGGGGTTCAGGTTGCCCGCTGTCGAGCCAGTTCACCTCCCAGAACTGGGAAATTCAAGCCACCGAATCATATCCTCATACTTTTGTGTTGCAAAATTTGCGTGGGTGCTTGAGAAAAACAGTCTGATTAACCCGTACCACATTTACCCTTTCCCAAAGCAAATACCACGCCGGCCCACCGCAAATCCAGTAGACTCCATGGTATAAGCGCACCTCAGTGGATGGGTGTGCGTAAATACAACTAAATCCCCCTTCCCATGGTCGTAGACCGTAGAACGCCCCTTTGTGGTGTTCACCAACGCTATGCAGGTTATAATGTACCGTGACCGGTGAAAATAAAGGAAAATGACATCAGACGAGGGAGAGCTGGACATCAGAAGATGGAGTTGGGTGTCGTGCCCAAGCCATCGCGTTCTTTACTTGTCGTCCTCGTCCTCGTCGCTTCCCTCGCCCTCCCCTTCATCATCGTCGAAGTCCATCTCATCCTCATCACCCGTATCGCTTCCTCCAAAATCGAACTCTTCGTCCGAGCTTCCGGCCCAGAAATCGGCATCGTCGTCCTGCTTCGGCGGCGGCGCTTCAACGAAGCTCGTGGGCATCTCAAAGTCGGCAGGAACATCCTTCTTGGAACGTGCAGCAGTTTCAGTGGCCTTCTCGAGGTACTCGCCCCGACGGTCGCGGTACATGACGCCGGCGTCGACATTGGCGGGGGAGTTGATCTCGGGGTCGTCGAGTAGCAGCAGGACGGAGCGGAGCACGCTCTCGGCGCCTTGGAGCGGGGACCACCTCTCGCTCGCCTCTTCGCCAGATGTAATATCCTCCCCGGGCTTGTGCAGGATCGAGATGCAGAGCTGGCCATCGGGATAGATGTTGGGGTGGGTAATAGGAATCAGGAAGCGGAACTTGGGCGGTTGGTACGGGTACTCGTCGGTGAAGGTCATTTCGGCCTTGAAGTAGCCGCCGTTGAACGGGCTATCGGAGTTGATGACCATGAGGGCGAAATGCCACTTAAGGATGTTGCTGTCCTGATCGTCATCCTGCCCGAGCGATGCTGTTAGCGATGAGGTTTGACGGCAGGTCGGGTAGAAGTTGAGGGGCTGGGTCGGAACCTACATCGTGGAAGTGAATCCAAGTCTCCTTCCGCAGTGCCTTCATCTCGCTCATCAGGCGCGTCTTCGCGCCGGTCGGCGCTGCTGTACGAGACATGGCGACGGTTGGCGGCGACGGGGGCTATCGTTGTGGAAACAGAGGCACGCAGTCGGGTTCGGGGGTATGGAACAGAAAGTGCCACTAGGGGTGAACAACGAGTGACGAGGGGCGGAACCTTCTTCTCGATGTATGGAGAAAAGGCGAAGTCGGTCGGCTTGTCGGAGGGACTACACAGCAATCGGCTGGGGGGTGTTGAATAGATCGTGTTTGTGTACAGGCAGGTGAAAAATAGAAGTGAATTAACAAACCACACTCCTCTTTAGAACTCTACCGAAGTTATTGTGAAACGCAGAATACAGTGAGGAAAACAGGGGAAACAATAGAAACAGAAAGGGAGGAGTTGGCGCCGAGGCTGACTATTTATTATTAGGTACCTATTGAGGACCTTGCCGATCCATGCGCCTGGCGGTGACAAGCAAAGAGTCACCCGCCGCCAGGCATTCCTTATCAGGGGAAGTCGCGGAGCTGCCGAGCCAGCCAGAGAACCCCCCCACCGCAGGCCACCGCCTTGGAAGCCAGTGATCAGTCTCAAACAAATGCCCCGCCACAAGTCTCAAGTGACCTCAGCCGACCCATAAAAAATAAAGCAGGGCTCTGAGTGGCCTTGCGTCACAAAGTCCTTCAGCGGCCTCATCAAAGCCGAGGATGATGATGCACTTAGGATAGGTATTGACAGAAATTCGAAGCCCGGATCAGGTGGGTTGTTGCAAAAACCCGAAAAAATTACACTACTTATCTTTACATTTTCACAACACTTTCAACCTCACCACGCCACCGTCGAAAGCGAGCAGGCTAGGTAGGACCTAAACAGCCCAGTGCAGCGCCCTGATCGGACATGGTCTGTTGCAAACCGACCAACAGCTGCAGTGGGTGAGGCACCCAATCGCCTCCCAAAATGTGTGTCGGTGGCGAAAGAAGCCTCAAATTCCCGACAGCCCGATCATCTGCGGCCTGAGCAATCATCATTCCTCTCAGCCATTTTTATCGTCTTTGTTGCAATTATGCATGTAGTTAGGTGGCATGGAGCAAATCGAGTAATTATTTGCTTACCAATAACGGAATCCATGGGCCGTTAACCCAACAGCGAATCCCGGGTATCATGACAAAAGTACAACAAAATAATGACGTCCAAAATACGGTGCAAAGCCGTCATGCATCCACCTGCAGGAGTCAGACCGAGCCACCAAGCAAAGTAATCCCGAAAGGCACGTATCATAGCCAGATAAGCAAAAAGACCAGATAAAAACCGGCACCCCCAACAGAGCAGAGAGATTATCCGAGAAAGAGAGAACCCCTCAACATTTTCAAATACCAATAGACCACCGCCTCTCCCTCTTCCTCGATCCCGACCACGACCCCGGTCCCGATCCAGACCCGGAGCCGGACCCAGACCCCGCCCCCGCGGCCGCACCGCCAGAAGCAGTCGTGGCAGCAGCAGCAGTAGAAGCCTCCTAGGCCCCCAGGTCGTAGTAGACACACTTGCCGGTGCGGAAGTTGTAGACAAAGGCGTTGGGGGCGCTGCCCTCCTTGCGGGCCTCCCAAGCCCAGCGCCACTGGAGGAGCATGTCGTGGAGCTCGCGCACGTACTTTTTCTCGGCCGTGCCCACGCCGTGCTCGACGCGCCGCCAGCTCTCCGGGTCCGACAGGCTGGTGCCGCGGATCAAGTCCACCACCGCGTCCGACGTCTCGATGGCCGCCACCGGCCCGTCCAGGAACGTCTGCACCAGCCGCGACGCGCTCGCGTGCGCCTGCTCCACCACCGCGTGCCGGTTGAACTTCTTGGACTTGGTCTGCGCCACCAGCACGTGCACTTCCTGCGGGCCGTGCTCTGCCGTGGCCGTGGTCGGGAGCGCGCCGCCGGAGTCGGAGTGCGGTAGGCCAGTCGTGCGGAGTCGCGTCCCCGAGCGGGAATCGCGGTCACGGATTTCGGACTTCAGCCAGTTCAGGAGCTCCTTTGCCGAGATGTCGGCGTCGGAGGCGTCTTTGCGGCCCATCGTTTTGATCTTGAGCTGATTGTCCTGCTTGATGATGATGATCCAGCTATAGGACTCATCGCGGTAGCTCGAGAGCAGATCTTCTGGGGATCGGGCGTCACGGGCAAGTTCGGCGCTGATACCATGCGCCCATAAGGTTTGAAGAAGTTCAATGCCCGAGGAGCGAAGAACGGATGGGTCGAAGCTGGCGACCAAGACATCGCACTGCTAACGTTAGCCACTTACTCCATGATTAGAGGGGAGGGAGGTTGTGAGGCTCACCCGTTTTGCGCTGAAGATTCCGTGGGCTTCCTCGTCGACCGCCTTTTTGAGAAACGCCTTGCCCGTGGTCTTGGGGACTTGTTTCGCAAGCTGCTTTTCCCAGTTGAGACTGAAACCCACCGCGTGACGCTCTTCGAACCGGCTCCCGATCTTGGGACGGTGCTCCTTAATCAAGCCGTCGTAGCGGCCGCCGGCAGCGAAGACGTCCTTGACCTTTTTGTCGTATAGGCAAGCAAAGAGAATCCCCCCACGAAAGAATGTCTCGTTGATGCTGCTCAGCGGTGCGATGTAGACCTTGCCGCTCAAGCCAAATTTCTTGGTGTAGTCATACACTTCCCTCAGGTGGGCCAGCGTGGACGATACTTTCTCGCTGTATTCGGTCCCGTCGAAGAGGACCCTCAACTTAGAAATGGCCTTGCTGGGGGTGTCTAGTCAAGTTAGCGAGTCCGGGCTGTGCCACACCACAAGGACGTACTCACCTCTGAAGTCAAAGCTCTGTAGCTCATCGACACTGGTAGCTGACATCCCTACCAGAGGCGATCTGAGCTCGCTGCGAACCTTAGGCCACGTGAAATTCCGAATGTTGAGTTTGCTGAGAACCTCGGCAGCAGCATGCCTTGCCCCAGGCTCCACGCCGCAAAACTCAAAGATCAGATGTAAAAGATCCGAGTGGCCAAGCTGGAAGCAGACCGGGGTCGATGACGTGGTGGGAAAGGCAGTGACAATCTCGTCCAGGACCTTGATGACCTCCGCCTCTTTCAAGGCAAGGTCCAGGGCGTCGGTGGTGACAATGTCAAAGTCGACCTCTCCATAGACGTCCGGCTGCCCACCGTCATGGCGGTCACGGAAAATGTTCCCAAAGGAATACGAACGCATCGGCACTGTGCCGTTCGTAATCCTCGCGAGGGAACGAGCATGTCCCATCACCAAATCAAAAGGGAGCTGAAGCACCGTGCCGTTTTTGTCAAGCAAATGCACGGCGTTTTGACCGTAGTGTGATGACCGAGGATAAAGCGTGGACGTTGGAGCCTCCACGGCACCGTGCCGCCGGAAGATGGATATCAGGGTCTCTTTCACGATGTATCGGCGCATCAGGTCTGCGGGACTGGGGATCGACGAGGACATATCCCACGCGTAGTCTTTCGCCTGTTCGATCTGCCGAGCAAACAACGTCTCGAGCATCTTTTGGAAATACGGTGACGTCGGGTCGGCCATGCCCGCGATGGCGCGCCGTATCGCCTCGCTCTCCATCTGGACTGGCATTTTCCCGCTCTTGAGCAGCTCGATACTAGAAGGTCGCTCTTTCGGATTGTGGGTCAAAAGAGACAACAAGACTTCGGTGTGGTTCTTGTCGGTGGGTTTGAAATCCGACGGCAGAGCTGGTGGATTCCGCCGGACTTGCTCAAGGACCAGAGCACGCTGCATCCCGAGCATGGGGGGGTATGACATTTCGAAGAAGATGACGCCGAGTGAGTACATCTAGGGGCGATCAGCAATTAATCCTGCTTCCAGCCGGGGCATTGAACTTACATCCACTTTGGCAGTGTACGAGCCACTGCCCCCTGTTCTTACTTCTGGTGCAACGTAAACGGCAGTTCCGATGCTCCGAGTCATATCGCTGGCATCCGCATTGGAAGCAGTCTTGTCCATAGCAAGCTGCCCGCTGGTGGCCAGGCCAAAATCTCCTATCTTGACATTTTCAACGCCATCTGGGCCGGCGCTGATAAACACGTTCTCGGGTTTGAGGTCGCGATGGACAATGTTGAGACTGTGTATGTGAGCAAGGCCTTCGAGAATCTGACGAAAGAGACGCCAAATTTCCTGGCTTTCCTTGGACAGGTTGCGAGATATCAAGTCGCGAAGGGTCTTGCTTGAAATCAGCCTCGGCCATAAAGGGATATAGAAAGAAAACAAAAACCTACTCGCTTCTCGCAGTATTCCATAGAAATGTACATGATGGTGCGAAACGGGCGGGAACTTCCTCTCCTCGTACGTTTGCCAGGAACGACGAGGTGGTCTTTCATCGGAACCTTGCTGTTCAAAGTCGATGTATCCTCATCGGATGATGACCCTTCGTCTTCATCATCCTCATATTCGTCGTCGTCGTCATCATCGTCAACCGCTGAGCCATCGCCAAATTCTATGTATGGGTGGCCGCTCGATGACATGAAGTCCAAGCCTCTGCTTTTGCTCTCGGCAAATTCAATGTTAATACTCCGTGATATCGTATCCCTCGAAGTACCCGGGCCGTCTGTTGCTGTATCCCCATCCGTGTCGGAGTAGTCCGGAATTTCCTCGAGCCAGGTGTTGTAATATCGGACGACGGCAGGGTGGTTCATCTGGGAGAGAAGCCTGACTTCCTTGAGCATTTCGGACAGTGTCTCCTGAGACCTCTGCGTAATCTTCTTGATCGCATAAAGCCGGCCATCAATCATCTTGCGGGCTCTTACTACTTCTCCGAAACCACCTTTGCCTAGCCGAGCCTCCTCTACATAATCTTGCAGATATCTCGAAGTCACAGCCCCGCGGTTCATCGAATCATGGCGCAACCTCCGCGGCAATCCCTGGGAGAGAGAGATCATGGAGCCACCAATAACAGCGGAATCGTCTTCTTCCAGGATAGGGGCATTGGTTGCTAAGAATTCGCTTGAGGACAGTTCAAACGCCCGCGGCCGCTTCTTGGGGTCCGACTTGAAGAACTTTGTCACCAGTTCCTCGAGCGGTCCTGAGAGCGAAAGGGACTCCATCAAGGCTGACGGAGAGTGGTACTTTTCGGGCACGTCTAAGCCGAAGAGCATCTGCAACACGACTATGCCAAAATCCCAGACATCTGTCTTCTGGGTGTACTGAGGTTTCGACACACCTGCAATCTCGGACGGGAACCAATAGGCTGACTTTGCGGTCCGCATGGCGGTTAGGCTGGCTACCTTGGTGCACATGTTGTGCAGCTCTCTCTGGTAACCGGCATCGGCCAGCTTTGGGACAACGTCACCGGCTGGCTCCCTGCAGAGGAGGATGTTCCCGGGATGAATGTCCTGATGGACGATTCCGTTGTTATGTAAAAATGCAATCGCTTCTAGCAGGTCTGTCGTCCATATCTTGGCTTTGCTGATGTCGATTTGACCAGCAAGACTCAAGAGTTCATCCACAGGGCCTTTGTCGCTGAGAAGCGTCAGGACACTGATGGTCCACACGGCTGGAGACGACGAGTCCGTCTCGCTGACGGAGCGGTCGATTTTGAAATCAAGGAGCTCAAGAAGGTTTTGATGGCGTAGTTTCTTGAGAGACTCCAATTGCATCTCCAAAGACTGAAGCTGCTTCTTGAGGTGGGCCGAGTCTTTCCCATGATACTTGAGCTCGACCTGCTTGAAAGCTAGGCTGGGACGTAGATTTTTCGCCGAGAGAACCGGCTTGACCTTGTAGACGGTGGTTACCGGGCCTTCACGATACACCACCTTTCCAATGACTGTTTGAAAGTACAGTGCGTTGCCTGACCTGTCAGTCAACTTGCACGGTTGGTCAAGAACAAGAGCGACGTCGGTATCAGCAGGATCCTCTGCAACACGGCCAGGTGACAGTTGTTGACTCCTGTTCTTCTTCCTCGACTCTTTCGCTTTGTTTCTTTGCCGCTTGATCTCTTCCTGGACCATGTCACCCAACACCCGCTCCTCTTCTCTGGTCTCTTCGAGTTTCTTACGATCCTCCAGCTCCTTTTCGTCCCTGGCTTGCTTCGCCAGCTCAGCTTCGTGGGCGGCTCGCTCTTCCTCTAGGGATGGCAGTTCCAGCCCCTGGGCTTTTTTGGCGGCAGCGATTTCCAGAATCTCACGGATGCCCTCGACGATGCGGTCAATCATCTCCTGTTCCTCGGTAGCCCAAACTATTGGCCGCGTCTCGATGAACTTTTGGATCTTATACTTGGTCGATTCTCGCAAGTCGCTGTCATCCTTGATGGTCAACAGAGGAGGAGACTTTGGGTAGGTTGCAACGAGGACAACCCCAAGTGTCAACGCAACTTCGTCATCCGACGAAGCTTTGATCCTGATGTCGAAGGATGGTTCAGATTTCTCGAATTAAACAGTTAATTATGAACGAAGATGCATGAGATGAGACTTGGGAATTTCATGAGTCAACTTACATGCCACGCACTAGGGGCAGTGCTATGCTCAATGAAATCCTCGCCATAAATGGCTTGTAACACCATCACTTCATTTTGCTGCAACTCGTGGTATTGTATCTGAGATGCAGATGTCCCGGGACTCTTGAGCCCCGGGAAACTTTCGGTTCCATTTTGTTTTGGTGATTTCGCGGGCTTCTTTTTGGCAGCCATCGCAACCTTGAGTGATTGACTGAGTGAGTGGGTGAGTGAGTGAGAGTATCTGAGAACCTTAACTAGGTAGGTAGTTAAGAGTCCCAAAATCCGAGACTCAGACTGAGACGATCGAACTGGTGGGTCCGGTGATATGTAGGTGACTCAACGACCTACTCAACTCCAACTCCTGTGTAGAAGAAGCTTTGACTGTAACCTCGGAGGTGGTACCCTTAAATGGGACCGTTAAATGAACTGCACAGCCCAAAAGTGGCCGTGAGACTTTACTTCCCGAGATAAACCCATCATTTTTCTAGAAATCTTTGTTTGAGTTAGGTTTCGGTGTTTAGATGAGGCCCTTTGGGAAGACAGCAACCTTGAAAGTATGGAAGGAGTGGGGTTTGTGTCTGCCTTTTGTTGTTGGGAGTTCTGGTTGTCTCCAAGACTCAGTAGTGGTGGGGCATCTTGGTGGCTCGGGCCGCCCCACTTGCTCTTGAGCAAGCGCCTGCAGGTGACGCGCCCCGTCGCGCTAAGATGAAAGCCCCCACCACCCTAAGAACCCCACAACAAACCCCGACCTGGGCTGTTGAATGGCTGCATTTGGCAATCAATACACAGGACTTGTGTAAACAGCAACAACGAAAGGCACGACTGCGCCAGACCCGGCCGACTGCGAATTTTTGATGGGCCGACTCCCACGGCCGTAAAGTAATCCCGGCGGGTAACTCTGTATCTATTTCTGGGGGCAACAACAAAAAATCGCAATGATTAGCTGGGCGCTGAAGCGCAATTCGGACAACTCGCGCGACGCGCCGGTCTCCGGTACGAGAAACCCCTCCACGCCGGGTATTGGGAAAGCGCTTTTTGGGGTCTTGAACTCACACAATTGCAGATGACACCACTCAGATTGACATCCCTGACACTCCTGCGCCCGTCTTTGCCGTGCGTGCGCTGAAGACGGCCCTCTTCGGTACCCCCGCAGCTAAGGATCGCCGGGCCGCGACGAAGACAGCGAAGAACCATGACAGCCCAGCAGAATGTCAACTCAGTACCAGCTGCGGACAGGTCGCCAACGAAACCTGCGGGCATCCTCCTCACGCCCGGCACCGGTACGACGCGCCGGAAGCGCGTCTCATTCGGCAATGACGTGAAGCAAGGCTCTGGAGGGACTGCCAGGACTAGCGCTACTGGATTACCAGACGAGTGCCCTGGGAAGTTCCCAAGCCCGTGGGTTGACCGAAACGGAGACGAGGCACAACCACGGCCGAAAACTAGATTGCAACAGGCCATGGAGAACTCCAGGAAGGCCAACACCAAGGACGGCGGAACGGAGGAGAAGGATTTTGCTCATGCGGCAAAGGAGCCGGAAGACGCATGGGAGGAAGTGGAGGACGATGAATCAGACTTTGACGGCGACGTCACCACGGATCTCAACGAGCCGCACTCGCGCTCCGGCAAATACTGGAAGTCCTACTTTGAGACTTACCATAGCGATGCAAAGATGGAGATGGAGAAGCTGGTCAAGTACAAGCATCTCGCCAAGTCTTATGCGAAGATGAAGGACACTGAGGCGCTCGAGCTTAACCAGAAGCTCAAGGAAGAGCAGGGAAAAGTCAAGTCAATGGAGGAAAAGATTGCCGAGATGGCCCGACAAGCAGGATCCACCACAAGAAGGAAGGGAGGCGAAAGCGACCCGATATTGATGGATGAACTCAAGAAACAAACGGCTCTTGCAACAGAGTATAAAATTCAACTACAGGAGTTGGAGTCTCTGCTTAATATCGAGGACGATGCTGATGGACGCCAACGACAACAACGAACAGCATCACCCCCGGACGCAGCGGACCCTGATGGAAACTCAACGAGAGCTGAGGCGGGCTAGGTCGCAGGTCCGCGAGCTAGAAAAATTGCAGGAGGAACGAGACCGACTAAGATCTGACTTGAAATTCGCCGAGCAACGGGCCAGCAAGCTTGCTGAAGAGAATCGGAAACTATCAAGGGAACTGTCTCAGACCACGTCGAGGACCCAAGACCTGGAGAAGATGTTGGAGGACTCTAAGGGCTCTTATGAAAAGCTCAAGGATGACGCCAAGTCTCGATATGTTGAAGCCCAGCAGGTCCTGCAAAAGAAGAACGAGAAGATTTCGGAACTTCAAGAACTCGATTCGCTCAAGAGAGAGGGAGCAGAACCAAGACAGCCGACTCGGTCTACGCGGGCGAAGAGCTTTGACGAAAAGTTGGTTCCGACGGAAAGGGAGAGCGCCCGGGTGTTATCAAAAGATGTCAATGGCCTCAAACAAAAGCCCAGCGAGAAGGCTGCGACCAGTTCAACAGCCCTGGCGGAAACGAGGCAGAGGGAGAAGCGTAGCAGAGACGACCTCAACAAGCGTGCATCCCATGATGATGCAACCCTGGCGCAAGCCCGCGCTCTGAGGGAGAAGCTCGAAGCCGAGTTTGGCACAAAGGGGCTACCTACTTCCACCGTCTTTGGCGACCGCGGAAACCTACAGGACAGTCACGGCTCCGCATCAAGCGGGCATTCTGCCCACTCCAGGGAAGGCCGGTCCTATCCCAGCCGGACCGACCGGCCATCACGAGCGGCCCGGCCAGCGTCGACATCTTTGGGGAAGGTCACTCTAGGCGACCTCCCTACAGAATCTCGCGACAAACGCGCCCGTAAGAGTTCGCTCGAGCAGATGAGGCAGGTCCCAGTCCGGCCTTTATCACGAGGTAGCGAAAGTGACACGTCGCCCGATGTTGGGGGCGCGAATGCGCAGACTAGTGCTGTCTGGAGCACCATGAATGCCTCGCGGACTGCCTTGCCGGAGCACCGGAAGGCGGCGGCGCTCGCTCGGATTCAGCGGAGGATAGCGGAGAGGAAGATGTTGCAGCAGGCTGGGCGGGATAAGGAGAATGCACGGCCATAATGCGTGGTATTGGTGTTGGTTGTTGTTTTGGTACTTGGCCTTGTTATGTGTTGGCTCTGGTCGGTCTTGGGCTGTTGTTGCATATTGATTTGTGGATATCTGAACTGCTGAGATGGGTATGGTATGGCAGTTGTGGTCTTGGCATGGTGTTGGGGATATCCTTTCTACGTCACGGGTTTGGAGAGCCGGGATTCATGGGTCGGAAGTTACGGGAACAGCGTTTTAATTGATTCATGCTTCAGGAACCAGCGATCAGATAAGCTTATCAATTTTATACCGGGTGTCTTTGCCCAATCCCCTCCCCCAAACCTCGAATTCCAAACAAATAACTAAAAATTGGTTGGTCAAAATGATCCTTTCCAAAGTCAACGGTGAGAGTGGACACGAAATAGATGATGAAATAGCCGATCTTGAGCGTAGGTTGGCAGAGGCAAAAGCCAAACGTTCTCACTCGACCTCATTGAACTCTCACCCACCATTAGCAAGTAGGTCTCACTTCACTGTTTACATCAACGACCCCCTTTTTTTATCCCCTCCAAATTTTCTAACCCCCTTGTCCAGAACCCCTCTCCTCACCCCTCACCTCACCAACACACTTCCTCCTCCTCCTCTCCGACTCGGCCCTCCCCCTCGGCAGCTTCGCCTTCTCCTCTGGGCTGGAAAGCTACCTCGCCCATCAAAAAGTCGTCTTCGGCCAGCCGTCCTCCTTCGCCTCCTTCCTGCCCCTCTCCATCTCCTCCTACGCATCCACCACCCTCCCCTTCGTCCTCGCCGCCCACCGCGACCCCTCCCTCGCCAACCTCACCGCCCTCGACGACGCCCTCGACGCCGCCATCGTGTGCACCGTCGGCAGGCGCGCTTCCGTCGCTCAAGGCCGCGCCCTGCTCTCCATCTGGGAACGCTCCTTTGCCGGCGCCCTCGCCGAACGAGGAACAGCAGGAGGAGGTGCAGATGTGAACGAGGCGCTGCGGGGCTTCTCCGCCCTCCTGCGCGGCTGCTCAAACTCCTCCTCCTCCTCTACCACCACCACCACCACCACTCCCACATCCACTCCCGCCCTCACCAACGGCGACAGCACACCCACCACCACCACCACCCCTCCCTCTCCAAACGACGACCCCCCCCTCCCCCCGCCCGTCGCCGCGCACCTCGGCCCACTCTTCGGCGCGCTCTGCGCGCTCGCAGGCCTGGGCCTCGAGCAGACAGCATACGTATTCATGGTGAGCCACGTGAAAGCCTTGGTATCAGCGGCGGTGCGGGCGGGCATGTTCGGGCCGTACCAGGCGCAAAAGACGCTGGCGAGCGCGGGCGTGCAGGGCCTGGTGGCGGCGGTGGTGCAGCGCGAGTGGGGGACGCCCGTGGAGGAGGCCGGGCAGAGCGTGCCGGTGATGGATTTGTGGGTGGGTAGGCATGAGGTGTTGTATTCGAGGATTTTTAATAGTTGATTTGGGTTGGTTTGGGGGGGGGGAGGGGGGTTGGATTATGTGATATTTGGTTCTTGGAGACACCTAAGCACATGGAGCTGTGATCATGTTTGTGTATCTGTTTGTCTAGTTTGGCAGCGGTGGGAACCCTGGTATCATTAATGTACAGCTACAGAGTACAAACGTCCGTCATCTCCTAGCCCCTAATCACTGTCGTCGCTGTCGTACGCGACCAAGGGCCCCGACGAAGCGGCAGCCTTCGGTTTTGACGCGACCGACACTTGCGCTGCCTGCAAAGCGGCCAGCGTGTTGCTAGAAAGAATGCCCCCAGCCTGTGGTTGGCTCTGCTCCTGGGGCTGTTCCTCTGCCATCTGCGCCTCCGCGGCTTCCAGCATCAACCGCTGCTCGTGTTCCAACTCGTATCCTTCCCGACCACGCGGGTTGACAGCGTTAGGCCCCCGAGCGAAGTGCACCTCATCTGGCGCTTCGTATCCTTCTAGGCCATAACTGCTCTCCAGCTTTCGCCGTTTGCGCGCCTCTGGATCCTTGCCCTCAATCTCCGCAACAAATTCCGCCGGCAGAGCCTTCCGAATAGCCTCGGCTGCTTGTTCTTCAATTCGCCTAGCCTCTCGTTTCTGCGCCATCGGGTTTGGGTCGGCTGTCGGCCCATCGGACATTCAAGACCTCCTCATGATCGAGAGACCTGGGTATGTTAGCCAAAAGAAAATGGTCAAAATATTTCAGTAGGCCACGTACTGATGGGCCATCGCCTCCTTTGCAAACTGCGCATTTGCCTCGTTGGTGTATGTCACAAACGCCACGCCCCGGGTATTGAGAACGCGGACGCGTTCAATCTGTCCCCACTCTGCAAGATGCCGTGCCACGATCTCCTCAATATCGTCCGTCACATGGATCCGGCCGATGTACACGGTGCGGTTCTGGCGGGTGAAGCTGCCGACACCGCCCATGTCGTCGCGGTAGTCGCTGAACTTGTCACGGCCAAAGCAGTCGACGTTCGGGTTGAAGATGTCGTGGATGCCGGGTAGTCGGTGGAGGTAGTCGCAATCTTGACCCTTGGGGCTACAACTGTCAGCGATCACCCCTATTTAAAGAACCTAGCGATGGTGCAAACTCAACGTACCATATTCCCCTGGCAAAGAAAAGACAGAAATAGGACCCGGGCCGCGCATCAGCGCGCGTGTATCCGGAGTCCTGAGCGACATTGCATCTCCCTTTAGCATGTGTCTGCGACAGATACTTGTCTTCCCGGTCGCCCCCTGACCACTTGTTATACCAGATGTTGAAAACTGTGCCCGTCTGCGGTGGCGGTTCCGACTTGATCAGAGCTGGGTCGATTTGTGGTCGCGCTGGGCGCTTCTTTCGCCGAATAATCTTCTTCACTTTCTTTTCTGTCGGGGGCGCCACCTCGTTGTTGGTCGTGGCGAGCGCGAGCTCCTGCGCGCCGTCTTGCGCATCCTGGGCGTCGTCAACAACCGCGACGCCCGTGTCGACCCTTGTCTCTACTTCGGCCATGGCCGAGTCCGGTTGCCGTGGAGTTCGAACTGGATATTGGGAAGATTGGGGTCGATCGGGCGGGCCGTAATATACGATGCTCGATGCACAGTATCGGGGTGGTGATTGCAAGGAGAAGGATGGAATACGGTTAGTTTGTTGAATTGTTTCGAGGCAAGGTAACTCATCTGTATATATCGAAACCTTGAAGCAAGCTGCTCATGCGATTGGGTCATAAAAGTCGAAGAGCCTGCCCGTGCGGGATTACATAATACTGTCAAGTTCCACGACAAGCAGAGCAGAACAGATAAACAGAGAAAAGCGTTACGAGCATGAACCTAGATCTCAATGATTTGATGTATATTAGAGGGCACTATACGCCCAATAGTTGTTGAGTTCGGACCAAAAACTAATCAAATAGGTAGATAGATGGCTGTCTCCGAACCATTGAAGCGATGCAAAGCGTAGAACCGTCGACACTTGGCACTCATTGTCAAAGAACTAATGCCACTGAAACTTTCGGCTGGAGGAAACCTTAAAGTCTACTTTTTATTTCGAGTGGATTCCTTTTTGATTTAATCTTTTTTTTTCTCAGTTTTCTTTAACATCGTGCTATTTTCTTGACTTCTGCTTACGTTCGAGTTCCGCTTGTTTAGGCCGTGGGTGACTGTACGGAATAAACTTAGGTTGTCTTGGATACGCATCAGTCTGGGGAACGGCTGGCCGAGTGACGAAGGCGGTGTGCAAGGTTTGGTCGCCCGCCCCACCTACCCCTCGGAATTCTGCCATATTGAAACGTGGGGCACGGCGACGGCAACCAGGATTCATCGACCTGCAAGTTCTCATCAAGACCCTTTCGGATCCTACTTGGAACCGTTTGGTTATTCATCTATTTCGTTTTTCAGGCAACAGTAGGCCAATAAGGGCGTATTGCCCCCCAATTCATCAAGATGGTGAACATCACGGAAAAGATCAAGGAGTAAGAAATACATCCATCCGGTCTTTGCGGGGCATGGATTGACAAGTCTAGGATTGAGGAGGAGATGAGAAAGACCCAGAGTTTGTACCGCCACGGCTCGCTCGGCCAGGAATTCGATGAGACTGATATGTGCCACAGAAAATAAGGCTACCGGTATGCGCCTTGACATGGCCTCGAATTCGAGGACGAAGTTACAAATCGTGTTGCTAACGAGCTTGTGCCAGAATATCATCTGGGTCTCCTAAAGGGGTGAGTGAGTGATCATCACTTCGTCCGATTTGTAAGTGCTAATCGCCTGAAGAAAGCTTGCGCGGCTTCGCGCCCAGCTGCTCGAACCAGGGCCGGGAGCAGGTGGTGGCGGAGGTGCTGGTTTCGATGTGAGCAAGAGCGGTGATGCCCGGATAGCGCTGGTCGGCTTTCCTTCGGTGGGCAAATCAACGTTTCTTTCAAAGGTCACCAAGACAAAGTCCGAGGTTGCCTCATACGCCTTCACAACACTTACCGCCATCCCCGGCGTTCTCGAATATGGCGGTGCCGAAATCCAGCTACTCGATTTGCCGGGTATCATTGAGGGTGCTTCAGAAGGCAAGGGGCGCGGGCGACAGGTCATCTCGGCGGCAAAGACCAGCGATCTAATTCTCATGGTCCTCGACGCGACGAAGAGGGCCGAGCAAAGGGCATTGCTAGAAGCTGAGTTGGAGGCAGTAGGCATCCGGCTGAACCGCCAGCCACCGTGAGTTTAGACCCCCCACACCCGCGATTGCGACTTACACGCCAGCAGAAACATCTATCTCAAACCCAAAAAGGCTGGCGGCATGAAGATCACATTCCAGTCCCCGCCCAAGGGCCTCGACGAGAAGATGATCATGAGCATCCTTCGGGATTACAAGCTGCTCAACTGCGAGGTGCTGGTGCGCGACGAGAACTGCACGGTCGACGACCTGATCGACGTCATCATGAAGGACCACCGCAAGTACATCAACTGCCTGTACGTGTACAACAAGATCGACAGCGTGTCGCTCGACTTCCTCGACAAGCTGGCGCGCGAGCCGCACACGGTGGTCATGAGCTGCGAGCTGGACCTCGGCATCCAGGACGTCATCGACCGCTGCTGGAAGGAGCTCAACCTGATCCGCATCTACACCAAGCGCAAGGGCGTCGACCCGGACTGCAGCGAGGCGCTCATCGTGCGGAGCAACAGCACCATCGAGGACGTCTGTGACCGCATCCACCGCACGCTCAAGGACACGTTCAAGTACGCCCTAGTCTGGGGCGCTAGCGCGAGGCATATCCCGCAGAGGGTGGGGCTGGGGCATCCCGTGGCGGACGAGGATGTAGTGTACATAGTGAGCGGGTGGAAGGCGTAGTCAGATGTCGGGGAAATAGGAAGAGCGTGATTTACAGCCACTCAGTTAGAAGAAAAGTCCCGTGATATTGATACCGCATGTTTTGGTATGTGCGTGTCTCCTGTCATACCCAGTCATAAACCACCCTCACCCCTCCCTGTACCCTGATGATAAAGACCCTTCATACCGAGCGCAAGACACAAAACCCAACAACAGATTCTCCCAAAACGCCTCGTGGTAGACCAACCGACCCGTCCCTCTTCTCGGCAGCAAACAACGCGCCTTCTATGTCAAAGCAGAAAAAGTGACAAAGGAAAGAAAGAAGATAGCAATAGGCGTCAGCCAAGAAATGCCTCGGCAGCAAACAACATGCTCTCAATGTCAAAGCAGAAGAAGCGGCAAAGCGATCGAATGGGAAAAAGCAAAGATATCCGAGCCGGAAGCGCGAGCAACTTAGTTGGCGAAGGGGTTGTCGTGCTGTGCCGTCGTCGCGGGCTTGCTGGCAAAGAGCGGGCCACCATTGCTGCCGCCATCCGCGCCGAGTTTCTTAGCTGACGCACGAGCGAAGAGTGATTTCGGCTTGCCCCTACAGTAGAGATATCCGTTAGCTTCTGTGTGTGTGAAGGGCTGAGGCCATGTATGGCCGGGGAGGAGGCGGTGACGTACTTGCCGACCTGCTTGTTGCGGAACGCTGACAGCTTGGCGGTGCAAGGGCTCATGATGGTGTCCGAGGGGGAGATGAAGGTTTTGTTCCTGGAGAGAGAGACGAGGTTAGCGATTGAGGCCCTTAAGATTGCTTTTTATCGGTGGGGAGGAACCACGTACTCGCCCTGCTCCATCTTGGACTGGAAGACCTGACGGTGGTGCTCCATGCTCATAACATCAGGCTTGGTGTTCCCGTCGGTCTCGGTGTGGTTTTGGCCGTGAGCGGGCATCGACGTGTTGACATCCCGAGCGGCGAGCACGTTGGCGGAAGACATTGTTGCTAGGTATTTGAGTGCGTGGACCCGGTTGTTGAGATCGAACGATGGGAGACGGACTGGGAATCGAGCTGGAGTTTGCTGTTCAACGAGAAGCAAAACGAGAGGTTGCAGGTGGGCTGTTGATTGCGTATGGGAAGGGGCAAGCGGCAAGTGGATGGCAGGTATCCGGGCTTAAATTGACCTCGAGGAATGTGTGCGGTTGTTGCATGGCTCAGTCAGGCTGCAGAAAAAGACGAGAAAACATGTTTCCGGTTTTGGCCATTGACCGGGCAACGGCATGAACAACGGGCCCATAAAACCCTATCCCTGCCGCCTTGGCAAGCAAACCGCGGGAAAATCGGAGGACTTGGAATGACTCCCTTCAACCCAAAGGAGACGGGATCAACCGCCCAACAAAAGAATTTAAACAAGGGGAAATTGCTGGTATAATTTAGGTACCTATATTGGGCCATACTAAACAACTATAACAACAGAAACATGAGTCATGACCGGGTTTCTAAGACGATCGCTTAATGTTGGACCCGATCTCGGTCCTCGTTACACCGTACTGCTTCATCAGCTGTTCGGACTTGGCCTTCTGCGCGGCAATCTTCTCGGCAACGGCCTTGCCACGTTTGTTTTCATTCCTGCCCATTTGCTGCAGGTGAACCTCGTCGGGGCCGTCCGCCAACCTCAGCGTCCTGATGCCGGCCCACATGCTAGCCAATGGCGTATCCTGGCTGACGCCCGCGCCACCAAACGACTGGACAGCCCGGTCAATGACGGTCAGCGCCGTCTGCGGGATGAGGACCTTCGCTTGGGCGATTTCTTTGAGAGCGGCCTTGGGCCCGTGGTCGTCCATCTTGATGGCAGCGTTGAGCACAACAAGGCGCGCGGCGTCAATCTCGATCCGGGACTTGGCCACCCACTCCAGGATGACGCCGTGCTCGCGCAGCTGCTTGCCGAAGGTCGTCTTCCTGGGGTCGTTGATCCGCATGAGCATCCATTCTAGAGCCCGCTCAGACGCGCCAATCGTCCGCATGGCGTGGTGGATGCGGCCTGGGCCAAGACGACCCTGGATGATCTCGAAGCCACGACCCTCGCCGAGCACGAGGTTGGCGGCCGGCACGCGCACATTCTTGAAGGTGATGTGGCCGTGGCCGTGAGGAGCGTCGTCGTACCCGTAGACTGAGAGCATGCGGTGAATGGTGATACCCTCGGTTCCTGCGGGCACAATGATGACGGATTGCTGCCTATAAGGATCCTTGTTGTTGGCGTCGTTCTTGCCCATGACAATGTAGACCTTGCAACGCGGGTCACCAGCACCGCTGGACCACCATTTCTGATCCGAGTGTTAGCTTGGACGCGAGTACAGATTACTCAACGTATATGGATGCCGTACCTGGCCGTTCAGCACGTAATGGTCACCGTCCCGCTCAATCTTCAACTCGATGTTGCGCGCATCAGAAGACGCGACCTGGGGTTCCGTCATCAAGAAGGCCGAACGGATTTCGCCGTCCATCAATGGCTTCAACCATTTGGCCTTCTGCGCGTCGTTGCCGTACTTGGCCAGCACCTCCATGTTGCCCGTGTCAGGGGCGGCACAGTTGACGGCCTCCGAGGCGGTCCTCGACTTGCCTAGCCACTCGGCCATCAGGCCATACTCAAGGTTGGTCCAGCCCGGCGACTCTTTGTAGTGGCCCTTGGGCAGGAACATGTTCCAAAGGCCTAGCGACCGAGCCTTCTTCTTGAGGTCCTCCAGAATTGGGGGGTGGGAATTCCATCTGGCATCCCCCGCACCGATCTGGGCTTCATAGACGGCATCGGCACTGTGAGGGTATCAGACCAAGATGCATTGTGAGGATGCGATATGGCCGCTGACTTACGGGATGCAATCTTCCTCAACAAACTTGGCTACAACATCCAAAATTTGCTTTGCCCGCTCGCTCACGCGGTGACTAACCTAAACACATGTCTTAGCTGACGGCCATAGGGGGTGCCAGGATTAATAGGGGAATCCTACAGCAATTGGGATCTGCGCGGACATAATGCAGACGTTTTGTATCTTTCGATGGTGTTTGTGTGTGTGTGTGTGTGTGTGTGTGCGTATAAGGAGTGCTTGTTTCTTGTCAAGGTGAGAAGGTCGTGTTCACTTTATGACAAGATGTTTCGGCAGTCTGATGATGTTGAATCAATGGCTCGGTCAAGCTTCCTCCCTGGTACGATTAACCGTCCATGCCGAGGTCCATCGGTCCCCCGGCTTCAGTAACCAGCGGTGCGGAGCGCCAAGCTTGAAGTGGCTGGTGGAAACGCGGAGGTGGCTTGCTTATGGGCCCACCACAGATTGACAGGAGCACCTCACTGGGAAGCCTTTAGGGTGAATCGAACCAATTCAAGTGTAAGTGAAGAAGTCAAGGTGCACGTTTGGCTAAAAGTTAGTATCCTTAACCGTACGCCCATGCTGAATCACAGAAATCTACAACTCAACCACCACTTCGTTCGCCACTGATTACTCCCCGACATTACTGTGTACGAACATGAAATCGTCATGGCCCTCGAAAGAGCTTAGCGTTGAGGGAGGTGGAGTTTTGTCAGACGATGACCCATTTTTGACAGTCTTGACATGCATGTTACGTTGGACGATTAACGAGAATGGATACCCGTACTTGAGTTGTCGGTCTCAAAAACCGAACTGGTAGGGAACGGTGTGGACGAGGGCAGAAGAAAGAAAAATCAGCATGAGTAGAACGACTGAGGTAAAATAATTCTGCAAAAAAGGGCTGCTCGAATTCATTCATATGCCTATATAATTAGGTATGTACCTGGTAGTTGCTGTCTCCTGGCCAGGTGGCCGAACCACCTATTGCAGAACAGAGAATGCTGGGATGACGCGCAAACTTGCACGTTTTTTACTCTGCTCAGCCCGCTGCCTGCTGGGGCGAGAAAAGCAATTGGAGCGTTGCGTGGCCTTATCAATAACTGCTGTGTACGCGTTCAGTTCTGGTTTCCTCACGGGTCGGGGAAGGCAAACAGCTTGCCTTCTTGAGATGCTCGGGAAACCCACCAGAATGGGAACCGCAGCGCCTATCCGGGACTCGGTCCCGGCCGATCGTCCGTTTGGACTTCCGGCGCTACTCGCCGCACGGCCCAAATATGAGGCCTGCCGAGGGTTTCGAATATTTTGTGCCGTCCCAGTTACCAACACGACAGCAGTGGTTCTTGCGCTCAACGCATCATCGGCCCCCACATGTGCTGTTGACACACACCGTGATACCATCATCTGCCTGCGGCAGGCATCAGAGTTTGGAACCCGTTCGTCACCCCGGGACGTCAGCCGCCGCCCGGCTGTTCCCAGCTTACCCCTGGCCCAATGATAGTCGGGCGCATGCGACAAAGCAGCAAGAGGCACCGAGACGGCAGGGCCGTGGTCACATTGCAGATCCAGCGGGAAGCCAGAACGTGGTTCAGGGCTGGGTCGATGTCACGCTATGGAAAATTGTGCATTCATGGCCTCCATCCGAGTCGGCGAAACACTGACCATTCCTGCAGTCTGTTGATGTTTGGTATCGAAATGTCTGCTCCGGTCTGTGGTAACATGTTGGCCTTCACTTCAAACCTCGAAGGATCGGTCATGTGTCGTGGCCACAAGACCGGAGTTGAGCTGTCAAAGCTCAAACCTTGCCGGGTCATTGTCACATTACGACGTTCATTTTGGGGAGTTCGAATGTCGGCCCGATCTTGGGAGGCGAGTGTCAAGAACCATTACTCCGATTGGTGATTGCAGCCAAAAATCTTCGACGTTGACTGCTGCAGGTGAGGATAAAGTGCTTGCATTAGGCGAGAAAATCAACCATCTTGGGCTGGGGTGGCGGGGACCTTGTAGCCCACGTCTTGGGCCCCTCCTTTCTAATTTTGTTGGCTGCACACCCTGTCTCAACACTGACGGGGCTCCCCTCTCCGGCGTCCGTCCTTTCTCCGCGACACCGCATCCATTCTACCTGCCTTGGGCGGGCTCGACATTCGAGGCGGATGCCGACATTGACATTGCCGCCTGCGTTACCCTCCAACGTTCACCGAGCGAAAGCCATTCGCTTTCCAGCTGAAAGATATACCCACCCCACCTCACCTGAGCCCTGATGCGACCCCCTCCCCGCAGCCGCGCACTCGATACGATCCTTCACGGGCTTCCCTTTAGCTGTCCCCTTTCCTCCCGAAGCCCTCACGACATCGTCCTTCCGTTACGACAGTTTCGATTCTAGGATTCTCCCCATTAGTGCCACGCGCCTCTGAACCGACCCCACCCTAGAGCTATCTTTAGACCATGCCCCGATGCCACGAACAAACTCCCGGGTCCTAGTTACGAGATAGCATACTCATAACTTGTTACCCCTTCATGCCTCCGTTTTAGCAAGGATGGATATGATGAAGGCGGCTAGCTCGCTCATGCCGAAGAAATTCCGTAGCGTTCGGGAGAAAAATGGGCACCGTCGCAACAAATCATCCGAGTCTGGCGGCAAGGTGTGTTGACGACCACTACCCAACCAAAGACTTGTTTTTCTGACAGCCCTAGGTTCGGCCGCTAACTGCAGACTCATGGCTTTCCATATTCAAGCCCGATTCGGCTAAACAAGCACAGAGGGAAAAGGAGGAGATCGAGAAAGAAGCGGCGACGGTATGCCTCTGATACGATTTCGGGAAGGGGAGCCTGCGTCGCCGTACTAACGGTGTGAATAGATCGAGGTCATAGTTCAGCGCCTGGAAGAACTCAACTACCACGCTGTCTCCAAAGACCTGGTCCGCGTCGCACTCCGTTCCAACTTCGCCGGCGGCAACACCGACAAGGCTGTAGAGCTCCTGCAATTACAACAGCAAGCCTTCTCAGGAATAATACAACCATTCGATCCGAACATCGAAATGGTTGGCGCAGAGAATAGGGGAAATGTCACATGCTATCTAGACTCCTTACTCTTCGCTATGTTCGCCCACCTCACAGCCTTCGAATCCATGCTGAAGAATGACCTGGAAGGCGAGCCTCAAAGGAAGCTTGCCGCATTACTGAGGTTATGGGTCAACATGCTCAGGGGCGGAAAGCTGATCCACACTGATATGGTCCGATCACGCTATCCCTTTCGAATCGCCTCGTGCTAACTAGAACTTTGCAGACAGAACACATACAGCTAGCCTTGGCCGAGTGTGGCTGGAAAGACGCCGCGCTTCTCGAGCAACAGGACACATCCGAAGCCTGTCGCGGATTCTATTGCCGACGCCTTGCAGTTACCACTTCTCGCCCTCCAAATGGACCTTTTTCACCACGGAAAGGGGGATATAGATGACCACAAAGTCGTCCATGAGAGGTGCCTTAACCTCCCCATTCCGCCTGACACCGACGGAAAGGGAATAAAGCTCGAAGACTGCATGGAAGCATACTTCAACAACAAGGTGGACGTTCTTCGCGATAGTCTCGACGACAAGAAGTCCATCGACAGGCCCATCCTGAGTCCAGAGAGCACGATTCGGATGGTCCCCGAGGACGGGGACGAAACACCACGTGCGGAGGAGGAAAATACGCAGTTGCAACGGAGGTGGACAACACATGGAGGCATCATGCACTCCCCAACCTCCGTATCAAGCTCAGATCCCACGCCGTCTGGCTCCCGGACAAGGTCTACCAGCATCATACAGCGAATTGTGGTGAATGAGAAACACTCGGGTGGACCATCCGCCGATGCAGAAACAAGGAGCCTACTGCAACGAGCCAAGCGTACCGGCTCAACGGTAGTAAAGGCTGTCACCATCCCAGCCTGGCAGTTCTACCGGTTAATACGTTAGTACCCTTTTTGCTCCATCTCTCATTCAAAAAGGCTGAAGGCTAATGCTTGTTATTTTAGCGTGGAATGCCACTTCAAACAGCGCCCCAAGCAGCGACATGGAACTTGCTCGGCATTTCAATCAACGCCCTGTGGTGGCCATTTGTTTGAAGAGGTATACCATGACAGAAACTGGTGTCCCCATCCGGCAAAACACCTTCATCGATATTCCCGACAGCCTTCGGCTGCCGCACTTCATGGTCGTCGATAGCGCCAAGGGAGAAGATCACGATTCGAACGGGTTGAGTCAAGGGTACAAGTTGGTTTTGCAGTCGGTCATTTGCCACCGGGGCGATTCGATTCACAGCGGGCATTACGTCGCCTACGCCCGGGTTGCGCCGAAACTGTTGACGGATAACCGAAAACACGACCATGATCCGCCTCCGGATTACGAGGAACCGCAGTGGGTGAGGTTTGACGACCTGTCGATCGACAAGCGGGTCGAAACTGTGGATGATATCCAGGAATGCCTGCGACGTCAGGAAGAAATGCCCTACGTATTAATCTACCAGATCGTGCCGATGGTGGACGTGACAACAGCGACCTCGACCGACGGATCCGTGACGGAGCCCCCCTGCTACGTTGAGTCAACAACAACCGTCCCTGGGACGCCGAGCGTTGGAGCGGTGTCCGACGCCGGCCAACTCTCAAAGTCGGCGAGTGGCTATTTCGAGTCTGCAACAACGCTTGCTCAGAGCGCACCACACATCCGTTTCAGCTCTGAGATCGAACAGCGTCCACGGCTGAGTTTGGAAGACGATCCACCCTCTCTCGCCATCAAAACGGGGGGTGGCTCGCGGCGTGGCAGCATCACGTCCTCTGAACCTCCCCTCCAAACCAACCTCGCTGTTACCCCCGAAGCCGTTTCGCCAGTCGTCACGCACCCAGGAAGAGAACAACGGTGCCCGGCGTTCGCGGGCAGCCGCCATGTTTAAGACGGGGGCAAGCAAATCCCGACCCACCAGCCAGGCCGGCGAGGGTCGGATGAGCCTTACCATATCAAGATTCGGATTCGGCCGGCAAAGCAAAGATGGCAACTCCAACGGTGCCAATAGTGTCAATGGCGCGACCACGAACTCGAACTCGGAGGCATCGGCGAGTGACCACGGCGGGTCTGCTGTTGACGGGGAGGAAGCGGGTAGTGGGAACGATAGGGAAAAAGAAAGCCACATGGTCCACAACCACAAGAAGGACAAAGACCGGAGCAAGTCCAAGACCCGGGACCGGGAGGAGAAGAAGGACAAGGGAAAGGGGAAGGACTAGACTGGCATGCCTGACCGCGTGTGTGCTATTATGGAGGGCTCACTG